TCCTCTGATTCCAGAAAGAACCAACAAGTTCTACTCCCCCTGGCTTAAGTCAAGCACAAGCAAACTAATACGGCGTAAACGGTCGTCTTGGAACCTGTGGAGGTGCACTGGTAGCCGTTTTCACCGGCTAAATTATAAAGATATCCGTGACAAATTTACAGTAATGATGAGAAGTGACAGAATAAACCATCAGACACTACTTTGTAGAACCCTGAAGGGGAATCATGGGATACTGCACTCGTTGAATGAAACAGAAGGGTAACAGTTCACTAAGTTTACGGGACCCCATTAGTTTAGAGATTCTCTATTCTAACTCCGAAGTTGCAAACCCGCTAGCTGATGAACTCCAAAACAACTGTCATTTGGGAGGCAGAACCCCGCCCCCGTCGGATATCCTTATCACAGAGGAACAAAATCATACAGAGTTTAAACCCTCTGTAATTATGGAAGCGTTAAAGAAACTGAACCCGAATAAGCCTCCGGGAATCGATGGGATTTACCCAAGGGCACCCAAAGAGTGTGCTGAAGTTCTGTGCGCCCCACTAGCAAACCTCTCCAAATGCTCGTTTCTTGAAGACAGGTTACCCCCTGATTGGAAAAGGATGGCTGTCGTCCCAGTTTATAAGAGTGGAAAAAGACTACTTGCCTGCAGCCACAGACCGATCTCATTGGTCTCTTCAGTTGCAAAGGTCATGGGAGGAGTCATAAGTGACTCACTTTGTGATCACCTACTTCAGAAACCAATCGTAAACGACTGTCAACATGGCTTTCTACCAGGAAGGTCATGTAACACCAACTTGTTGATAGATTGGAACAGCTGGACACTCTCTGTGGGGAGGAAAAAGCCCATACACATTGGTTTACTTGACTTTTCTAAGGCCTTTGACAAGGTAAATCATGATATCCTGTGTAAGAAACTTCAGCTCATGGGTGTACACGGAAAACTATTAATTTGGCTTAGAGATTATCTGTACGCCCGGATTCAGTCAGTTACAGTTGGCTCCCCTCTATCTAATTGGTTCCAGATGCTGAGTGGTGTGTCTCAAGGTTCTATGCTGGGCCCAATACTATTTCTTGCTTCTATCAATGACCTACCAGGGGGCCTTAGTTCACATTATTATATACCGATGATCCGAAGATTTAGCGGGAAATACAGGAGGCAACGGATATTTCAATCTTCCAGGAGAACCTTGTGAAAGTCCATAACTGGACTACAGAAAACCTGCTTCTTGTCAACTCGAAGAAGTGTCGAATTATGATAGTTGACAAACATAAAGGCAGTCCCAGTTCTTACTCTCTTAGTGAAATAAACATCTGTCACTCTAACATGGAACAAGATCTGGGAGTTACACTAAATGACGCACTAGGAGCCTCATTTCACTGTCGCCTTGCAGCCAATAGGGCTTATGGAATCCTGGGGTTTCTCTCGCGAACTTTAGTGTGTCTAACTCCCTCTCTTTTCACCACAGTGTATGCTCTGTACATTCGCCCTCGTCTAAAAAAATTCGCTTGTGGTGTCCCCATACTCAAAAAAGGACATAGCCATCCTAGAACGAGTACAGAGAAGAGCTGCAAAGAAAGTGATTGAGCTGCGTCACAAACTGCACCCAGACCGCTTAGTTGCTCTTCAGCTGCACCCAGTACAGTGCCGGAGGATCAGAGGGGATATGATCGTGATTTACCACTTCGCCCATAACCTTCTCCATCCTAACAGATCCCTTGTAAGCTTTCGTCGGAAATGAGATGTGAGGGGTCACCCGTTAAGAATAGAGCATGAGAGAGCACGTACAAAGATCCGTGCTAACTCATTTGCAGCTGGAGTCTGTAAACTGTTTAATTCCCTGCCTTCAGCAGTTATTACAGCCCCATCCCCTGATACTTCTAAAAGGAGGCTAGACGCACACCTCTAGTCCTACAGTATCAGTGGGATGTACTCGAGAAGCTCTCCCCAGATCAGATGCAGTAATACTAACTTGAGACCAGATTATTTAATTGATCGTATCTCTATCCTTTCAGGTTTTTCAGGACCAGGAAGATAATCGTGACAATTCCAAACTCAGATTGTATTCCAATAAGACAGATGTAGAACCCAAGGAACCTCAGCACACTAGTTCTACAACACGAAGTTTGAACTGCAGTACTTGGCGGTTGGTTTAGAGGGGTGCGCGTTGACTCAAGGTCGTATCAGGGTGTCCGAAGTAGTCTTTTATGGTTTGTTGCTCTGTTTCATGCACGAACAGTAAATTATTTAGAACTCTTCGTAGGGCTAACATTTTTATATTACGTATATGAGTTTTTTATGCTTTATTCAGTTCTTAAGTCTTTGGTTATGTGGATTGTAGATTACTAACCTGTAATATTCATTTGGAATATATTTTACTTTTAAGTGTGTTCATCAAAACAGCTGCTACTACCGGTTGCTGTAATAAGTCTCAGAAGTTACTTATAACAGAACTAGCACTCTATCGGAAGGTGATTATATAATCATCTGCGGCTTTTGGATATTTTCTGATGACCTCGCTGGTGATCAGTCCTAATAAGGGTTAACAAATTAGAGAGATTACTACACAAGTCACCATTTGGCGTACGAATGACTCGAATGAAATAACTTCGTTTCCCTGGATAAGATGATGGAAGGTTTAACCTTGCTAATGGCTCCTCATAAGGGGGATAAAACCTGTAGCTTGTTAAGTGGTAACTTTTTTGAGGCATTGACTAGTCCAGCCTTACAAAAGTGGGTTATAAAGTCCTAATTATAGCTTAATTAAAGAATTTGAATGTTGGGCGGGACGACCAAAGCATGTGCAACGCTTTAGCAGCAGGAGCAATTGCCTTGGTGTTGCTTTAAGATAACCCCATGTGTTTTTGTTCAACATTTCGGGGTGGTGGTTGGCCAGTCGTCAGTTGCCTACCGCTATAATCACCCCGAGTGACCATACTTTTCTTGGGATTGATCTCCAGGCTACATCGTTATGAAATAACTAATCAAGGCGATCTTGAGGTTGAGATCTGTCATCATCCTCATCATGAATAATCTTCCACATCTCGGTTGCTTCAGAAAATGGTATCAGTTGTGACTTGAACATCTTTGATATTACATTAATGCCAAGAAGGAAGAGTATCAGTCCAAAGATTGTCCTGAGGAACCCCACTACTGACAGTTGATCATTTAAGTAATATTCCATTCACGCTTACTATTTGCCTTGTCCTGTTTAAATATCCCATAATTGAAACTTGAACCCCATTGATACACCCGAACTTTTCGGCTTCTTTATCGACTCTTTGTGATACCTTATCAGAAGCCCTGATAAATTCAATAAACACCACGTTTACAACGAATTTCTTGTCCCTAGCCTTAGCCCACTGCTCTATCATCAAAAGTAGGTTTTTCAGACAAGGGCATCCTAACCGAAGACCATGTTACTCCTGTGCTAGTAAATTGTGTTTCCAAGATGTTTAATACCGTATCACATTTCATCTCTTATCTTGACCATGATACTACTAAGACTAACAGGTTGGTTGGAGGCGACTACTTGTCTACTCCCCTTGGACACTTGACCAAATACAGCACACTTCCAATCCACGTGAAACTGTTTGCAAGAAAGACATGCTACATAGCATATGAGAGTGAATCAATGACATAAAACAACAGCGACATAATCCTAGGATGTGCTTCATCTGGTCTAGATGAGGTTCTATTCTCTAAGTTTCTCAACAGTTGGAGGACTGTCTCCTTTATGACTTGAATACTTTCTACCAGAGGAACATCAGTAACAATATCATCAGACTTGTTAGCAGAAAACATGAGCCTGTAATAGATCAACTATCTGTCAGCTAGATCTGATTCCAGTGCTCATGTGTTGACTCATAACGTATAGAACAGTACACTGTGAATGGGATTGTGCTGCAAGTAATCAGTAGAATATTGTTATCAAAACATCTGCTAAACTCAGTGATGGTGAGCTCTTGCTAATTAACAATCAGGGATTTATCACCTTACTTTCTAATATACCTTGGCAGGAAGTCGCCGACAAGTCGATTCCGATTATGGTAATTTACTCTTACTGTTTTCACACCTTACTTAGACCTGACGTTGCAACTAACAGCTTCAGGCATGCTACTGCCATGCGTCTCAAAAGCAGTTGACTGTATCTGCAGGTTCTCATAGATATACTGGATTACTCCATCACCCTAACGAACTGTGACTCATTCCGTCTTGATATGTGCATAACTTGGGCTATATGGAGAAATATTCACATCTGTAACTAACCACATCTCAGTGACCACTCTTACATTTGGTTTCAAGCTCTCAGCTATCTGACCGAGTCCGGATATCTTATTCCCTACGCTTATCATTTGTATATTTTGAACCACTTCATATAATCCGCCAGCGTTCTTATTAGCTTCTGCCTCTCCAAATTTACTGATTATTCCTTGTCTTTCAAGGTTACTGTAAACTCTATAAATGGAGTCCGTTTCCACTCATAAACGTTTTCCGTTCGATACACTATAAACTCAGTCGATTACCAGTCTTCTGATTTCCCTCTGCCAATCACTCGATCTGAATCGTCTCAACTCCTGACTCTCAATCGTTAATTGCTATTGTGCGTCCTCCTAACTCATCGTAACTACCCAACCCCACCATTGGGTTAGAACAGTTAAGAGAATTAGCTATAACCCCTGTTTCTACATGAGGTGTTAAGGCATAAGGCTTTCAAAATGTCAATGAAATTCTCAGAGACACCTCTCTCAAACAGACAATCCCACAGTACCACGCTGTGTCTGCTGAATACATCTCAATTTACGGAATCCCATGATAAGGAACCAACGACCGTTATTGTCTGTTACAATTCCGTTTTGACAATCATTTTTTCCTGGCCAACAGTAACTTTAAGCATAAGGAGACACTATCACATGGCGTCCGCCGAATTTAACGATACATAGATCATATTGCTATTAGCCATCGTTGGAGAGGATCTGCGGAGGATTGCCGCTCTTTCTGGATTACTAGTGTGAACTCCGACCACTCACTAATACGGGTTCGTGTATGTTTGCGCCTTACTGACCTCAGGAAACGGGAGACAGTGAAGCCCATTTATTCTCGATTGATAGATTAGGACGCCAAGTACTCATTCAGAGGAGTTAGCTAAGCATTTATCTGAACGCGACAGCAATGCTCATCGTGAGGAAACCTTGCGTGATACTAATTCTGCTGTAGGAAATGCAGTAACGGCAATTGATAACCTATACATGGAGGTTAACGACCGTCATTGGATTTCTGCGATGTCATCCAAACTGATTACTACAAGAGGACTGATTCCAGCTGGCTCTGATCACGATGAAGAGCAAAAGCAACTTAAACGTAAGTTGAACGAGAGCCTTTGCGTCGATCACGAGTAGTAATGGGTGACAAAAGTGAGAAGGAGAAGGCACCAGCGTCGGGTAACACTCGGCAACTATTTAGGCTAATTAAGGACACTAGGAAGAAGACAATGGTGAGTGAAACTATCACCAAAAAGGGTGGGACGCTGATACCCTCTAAAGACAGGAGACTAGAACCTTTGGCAGAATACTTTCCAGCACAGTTCAACTGGCCCACAGCAATGCTTCAGTTGCCCAACATACAGCCTGAACCTAGTTGGGAGGTAGACTTCGATCCTCTAACTCTCCCTGAAGTTAAGAAGGTTGTATCGAACCTGAAACGATGCTAAGAAGCAGGACCCGACAGTTTGCCACCCTAAGTTTTTAAGGATGAAGGTAGGAAACTGCTAGTTAGTGCCATGGAGGTACTAGGTAGTGTGTGGAAATCAGATATGGTGGAGTCAGATGGGTTTACTCCACTTATCATCCAAGTCTATACGAAGGGAGAGAAGTATTCTTGCAGAAACCGCAGGGAAATTAGTTTGACTAATATTGTGTCCAAGATCCTTGGATCCATAGTTATCTGATCCCTAACTTGTGCTCGAGAACTAGGAAATCGAAAAAACCAGGCAGGTTTTAGATCTGGACGAGAGTACATGTATGAGACTTTCAACCTCTGACAGGTCCTGGTACCCAGGTATAACTACCGGTGGCCGACTCTTGCCGTACTTCTTCACTCCTGACTGAGGGCTGCTACCTTGACGTGGTAGTCGGGCTTGTACATCACGGTGACCCAAAGAGCTATGCTGGTAGAACGACTGTTCGTTTGAGGCCCTACCACATCAGAAAGGTCTGTTGGGTAATGGTTAGATGAAAAGCAATTACCCTTAGCCTAACATGCTCTTAAACAAAAAAATGATGCATTATGGTGGCTTAGATCAGTCATCAGTGGTTAACGGTGATCCTGAACCACAGGACGTATGTTTGAATACATCTTCCATAATGCAGACCAGTTATCGTGGCATCAAAAAGCCCGTACCTGACCGGCCTCAAGCAGATGTCCCCTGGGCTTTGCATTCATACACTGACCCTCCTTTTTCAGTTATCTTAAGACCTCGCCCTCCACAGTGTGGGCAGTTGGGAAGTGTCGACCACTTTCATAACTGTCAGCGTTCATGTTCCCTCAAACCGCTATCCACCTCTCCCATCCTTACCTTCTAATCTTCTTTTACGTCTCTCAGTTAACAATCCTACATCATCTTTAATTTCTTCTTACTCTGCAGCTTTCGACAGAACAGAATCACAGGTCTCCTTAAACCACGCTCCAAATTACACATTAGAGCATTCAATGTCGCAGCCTCCGTCAAATTAACCAACTAGCTTCATTGGCCAGAATTCTAGCGACTCGGGTCATGGATGTGTGCTGTGTTTGTGAGATCCAAGCGCAGTTATGCACTTAACCTCTCCTGATCGATATGGTAAGTCTTCAAAATTCACCCTTCGAGTTTCTGGAGATTCGATGGCTAGTTCTCGTGGTCTTGCAGGTGTAGGGGTAGCATTAAGCACTAGTTCAGAAAGCTCACTACTAGACTGGACCCCAGTTCACTGTGGCCTATGCGTTGTCCGGCTGAACGGCGCAGTGAGAACTAAAAGGAATAGTAAAACTCGCCGTTGTCTCTATGCAATTTCTGGTTACGCAGCGACTGACTGCAGTTCGTGTGAAGTGAAGGATTAGTTGTACCGAAAACTGTCTAGCTTTCTACTCAAAGTCAGACGCTTGGATGCGGTTGTTGTTACAAATGATTTCAATGCATGAATGGGAAGCCTGAGTCAGACAGAAAGGCACTTAAGTAGTACTCTAGGAATCCCGACTGAACGAACAGATAACAGTGATCGCCTACTGCAATTGTACTCAGATAACCGTTCATTTCTAGCTAGGACAAACTTCAGTCATAAAGAAAGACATTGTCTGACGTGGCGCCCACTGAGCTCAACTCAGCAATGGACACATAGACCACATTGCACTTATCCATCACTGAAGACGGTTGATGGGAGACTACCGCTCCTCCTGAAGCACGTGTTTGAATATCGACCACGCGTTGGTCAGAGCGCGCATATGTCTGCATCTCAATGGACGCAGAAAAACTTTAATAGCAAGACCGTTACGAGTGCAGCTCGACAATGAAAGCACTAAGGCTGCTTTCAGTGAGAAACTGGCTAGGCAGTTATCGGAACAGAACAATATCACTCATCCTGCAGAAGCTTTGTACCCTCTCCAGTCTTCTGTAAAAACAGCTTTGAAGACCGTAGCTGAATCTCAAAGAGTGGCTAAAAAGAGCCGGTGGATATCAGCAGCTTCTTCTGGACGCGAATACACCCCTACGGGCTCTGAGTACAATGAGGAGCGAACGCAACTCAAATGTAGGCTAACAGAAAGTTTTCTCAGTGACTACGAACAGTGGTGGACAGCGAAGGCTAAATATATAGAAAAAGCGGCGGTGATAGGTAACAGTAGACAATTATTGAGACACTAAGGAAACGGGTGAAAAGGTCAACGGTTAGTGAAACTATAGAGGAGAAGGATGGGTCTACGACTCATTCAATCACTACACGCCTGAGTGGAGCTCGGAAACAGCAAACCCAAGAACACCAGACAGACTTCAGACCTGGCCTTGCGTGTATCGACCAAATATTCTCACTTCGCCAGGTTCTGGAGCACGGGCACGCTTACTGACACCCGACAATAGCTGTATTTCTCGACTTGAAGGCGGCATGCGACTCCATCGATCGAGAAGTTTAGTGGGAATTTCTCTCAGTGAAAGGGGTACTGAGTAAGTAAATTACCTTATTGAAGGTTCTTTATTCAAACACCTATGAGTGTCAGAGCCTATGGTCAGATGTCGGTTGAGTTATGTTCAATTTTCAACTTTACCGTAGACTTTCTTATGGAGGTCTCCCTCTCGTCATCTGACTACACAGGGAATAGCCTGATCACATGAGAATTTCCGGTTGACCTAGAATACTCAAATGACAGTCCTGTTACGTGAAAACGCTGACAAGATGCAGAGTCTTCTGGACACCTTGAGTGGCAATTTGAGAATGTTTGGGATGAATTTCTCGCCACTCGAATGCAATTTTTTGTTCCAAAACTAGTCTTCAACGATGCCCCGACTAACAATGGAAAGTAAAGTGGTTGAGTACGTTGAACGCCTCACTTACCTGGGAAGTTGGATCAGCCCTAGTGGGTCAGTGGCCGACAAGATCTCAGCACGGATACAAAATGCCCTGTTGGCTTTTGCCAACTTACGCCATCTGTGGTGCCGCCGCGATATCCGACTGTTTATTAATGGTCTAGTGTAGTGTGCTGCAGTTCGCTCTGTTCTACTCTATAGCTGTCAAACATGGGCATTAAAGGTGGAAGACACGAGAAGACTTCGGGTATTTGACCATCGTTTCCTCCCTAGCATAGACCGTGTTTCCTGGTGACACCACATGAGTAACTCAGAAGTCAGACGTAGAGTCATAAGGAGGAGAGGTAAGACAGTTGATGGAGTTGTGCTTCTTCACGAGCTGAGATGGCTTGGACATATGTTGCGTATGCCTAGCCACTGTCTTCCTCGTCGCACAATGTTGGCCAAAATAAGTCCAGACTGGAAAAAGGCTCAGGGCGGCTAGACTAAAACATAACATCAATGGATTAAGTACTTGACTGTTGGTTTTAGCCATGTAGGAAGATGCATACTAGCCGGTTGAAGTTCACGGGATAAGAGAAGCCGGTAGTTGGAGACTGTAAGTGATATGACTCAGGACCGATGTCTGGTGCAAATGTATACATACATTATCCTCATCTTAACCGCCATACTAAATCTCATCATTTCCTCACTCCTCCTCTTTTTTTCTACTTTCTGCTTCCTTTGACTAATTTTCTTCCTTCTGAATCTTCCATCTCACTGCCTCGTTACTTGATGTGCTGAAATGAGATGTTGCAACTTAGACCGTTACACAGTAGTGCCTGGTCTTATGTTGTTCTTGATGATGATATGTTGTGGCAGTATCTGACTGAAAAAAGTACGGAGCAAGTATGTAACGCTAATCAAAGCTCTCTACTCGAACTCACGCAACCGTGTAAAGACTTATGGATAGTTGTTATGAGAATTGACAACAGGTGGTGTCTGACAGGTATGCCCACTGTCACCGTTCCTATTTAACTTCGTTATAGACGTAGTAATGAACATAACCTGTCAAAATTGGGATGATGCTCCAGGACTCATCTGCAACCATTCCCAGTTTCACGGCAGGCAGTAAAGTAGTGGAATGTGTCGACCACTTCGGTTGGGGGAGTTGCATCAGCCCAAACGAGCTGGTTGCCAACAAAATTTCAGGTTCGATACAGAAGATCCGTTTGGCATTTGTTAGCTTACGTCATCCGTGGCGCCGTCTGGCGAGATTTCCGAGTATCTATCAAAAGACAAGTATACTGCGCGCCAGGTCATTCTGTCTTGTTATAAGACTGTGAGACATGGCTGTTAAAGGTAGAAGACATGAGGCGGTTACACGTTTTTGATCACAGGTTTCTTCATAGCACTGGTCGCATTTAGTGAAATCACCGTGTGGGCAATGCTGAGGTCAGGCGAAGGGTACTAGATAAGATAAGCAAGTCGAATGATGAGGTTGTAGACCTTAATTGAGTGAGATGGCTTGGACATGTGTTGCGCATGCCGATCCGCCGCCTACCTCGAAGTGCCGTTGTAGGGGAAGTTGTATTAGGTTTGAAGAGGGATCATGGTGACCAGATCACGATCTGGCACCAATCGATGAAGTGTCTTAGTGTTGACCTGAGCCGTGGGGTGGGTTGGTGGTGGTTGTGGTGTAAACTATCTGGTTGGGATCCTGAAGGTGAAAGGAATGAGTGGTTGAGAACTCTTTGTGAGGCAGCTAGAAATGAGTCACAATGGTGCAGATGTATTCCTTGACATTTAATGCTTGAATATTTGCACTAACCTTTATCTTCAAATTATTTGTTCTCTCACACTCCTTTTCATATTTCGATGTCACTCTTTATCTATCTGTTGTTTGTATACTACTGTGAATTGTGGCAACTTGAACCGTTGCACCTGTGTGCCAGGTTATACGTTGATTTTGTTAGCCTTTGGAAACCACTCGGTCAAGATCACAATGGATGCATTCTGGCACAAAAGTATTATGAACTGATAAAACATACCACTGAGGAAAATGAGTAGTGGAAAGTTATTCAGGTTGGTTTGTTGGGTTTGCAGCTGAAAAACTTTATTCATGAAAAGTGTCAACACAGACCATGTAATTGGTAAATAATTTGCAAATTAGCCATTAAACTTACTTAAGACCTATTTTCGTACCTCTTCAATTCTCTGGTGTACTATTGTTATTATATTAGTATGATGCCCATCTTGGTTCCCATGTATCGAGCTTTTGTATGCAAGGAATAATAACTAGGCTTCTCTACGGTGATCAGTCTGCGTCTCTTACTATGATTTCTGTCTGTTGTTGCTACTTGAGACAGTAAGACAATTGAAACAACCTTTGTAAAATACATCAAGCTAACACTGAACGCATAGATCTGTTTTTATGCACACTTATGTTCTTTATTCTCCTGCATGTTTTCTGTTTCTATTTACAGGTTTTTATGGACATAAGACGACTTTCTGGTGAAGAAAAGCTTAAATTCAGTCGCATTTATTTTTTTGGTAAGTTATCGTGTGCACTTTTCGAATACTTATCTTGTTAGCTGGGATCCCGTTTCTCCCTTTTCTTTGGTGGATAAACGTGTTTTGCTTTCTGAAAGATTTGTCTTCTCCACAATCTTATCCCGAGTTTAGATTAGTTAGGAAATGTAATGAAATATTTCATTGAAATGGTTTATTTATAGACGTCATCTTGAGTTTAATCGGAGCATTATCTTGGACATTTGCCTTTGTCACTTGGATAATTATTTTCTTGAAATTTCGATCTACTTGGGGTGAATTAGGTGATCGATTATCATTTAACATTCCGCCTGGTAAAGTATAAGGAGGATGAGGAAAAATGACTGTTCTGAAACTGAATCAGTTTGGGAAGTTACAGACTTGCTGGCGAAAGACGCTGCTATTGGCGAAACTCCTTCCATTTACACGTCTTCATCCGGGCTTCGGCATATTTTCATATCAACAAAGTCCGGATTTACGGTATTTTTTAAAAGATATAAATAACTTTTTCTTTAGAGCCAAACACTATACATAAGTCGTCATGTGGATCGTTTGTTACACGAATATCACAGTTTATCACAATGTGGCCCCTCAAAACCATCTGGTTTCTGGATACATGGTATAGGTCCTCTTGCAATTACGAGGACGGCTGAATTAGCCTTACATTTAATCCATCGAATGTATCCTGGACACCTTGAAATGTCAACATATACAAGCAGCTGTTCAACTAAGAAACATGTGAGTTTTTGTTTGGAAATAATTACAACTACTTCGTTTTTGCTTGATTGCATTTCTCATTAACTGTTCAGTACACATTGTAGGACGTAAACAATCATTAAGCAGATTTCAGTATAATTACTGTTTGTTTGAATTTTGTTTTAGATTATATCTCAAGTTGAAAATGAACGTGCACTTGTCAGAGAAGAACCGAAAATCAGAGGTGCTATCCATGTTCACATTCGCTTGGTTCCCACTCGTGGTATAGAACAATCCTCATAAATCCCATATAATGTTTCAGTAACTATGATTTCGACCATGAGGCCTGTTTTCTTCATTGTATGACGTACACTGAATAAATAGTAAATCTTATTTCGTTTTCTCACATTTCATAAAATATTTGTCTGTTTGTTCACCATAAAGTGGTAATTTTTCTATTCATGAGGCTGCGTATGAGCACTTTTTGGAGAGATGTTCCGTCTTACCATAAAATAGTAAGTGCTGGACATGGGATTTTGGGAGTGAAAATGTTATACCGAAGTTTAGTGCTTGTTGGCACTCGTCAGCAAGGTGTATGCCCAACCTCATTTCCGTTCCAAGACCGGAACCTGCATCTCCTGGTACTGCAGGTACTTTGGTTACCATCTGACTTAATGTTGATTATCTCCAAAAATGGAAATTACCTGTGTTGGGTTGTAAAATCAAACGATGGTAAGATGATAACTTGGGTACAAATGTTTATAGTAAACCAACACACTCTAACGGATACCTAGATTTTATGTCCTCTCAATTTACATCTGCCTAGGTAGGCTTGGTGAAATGTATAAGTAAATTTGGAAATCTGATTCAGAAACCCAAACGTACCAAAGAGACATCAGCACTAAATAACTACCCTCCTCAGTTTATTCTAAAGTTCATCGGAAAAAAATTTGAAATAACGGTATTAGGAGTAGTTGAAACATGCCCGAGACAGAATTCGAATGTATGGTGTTACCGTATCAAGGAGGGATATCGGAAAATCTATGTAGAATCTTTAGTAATACTGATATTAGCGTCATATTTAAATCCATATACTCAGACAGAAACCTTATAGGCTAAAAGATCCTGTAACCCCAACTAAGCTAAATAACTCGATCCATCAAATACCATGCAATTATTATTACCTATTGATAATTGTAATTTCCCGTTGCTATACCGGATTGAATTTATCAGCCTCTATTGGTAGTATAATTATTATGAGGTCAAAGTAGCTGACTGAAGTCGTTCAAGATTGCGAAAACAAAAATTCAACACAATATAGAATCACAGATCCTATTACAACAAGTAATCTCGAAGGAGCTTAGCTGTCGCTCTGCATGCACTAACTTATAGTCACACTATAGAGTGGCAGAAGTATGATAATTTCAGGATTCAACATAATGAGGTGAAGAAAGGTTCTGGTTACTGAATCTTTGTCCATCGAGTCAACATCTAAAACATGCAACAGGAATAATCTATCATATACTGCAGACATTCCAGAAATTCTACTACCATTGAAAATAGAAGAAAAATGAGTTGTTAGATTATGTAGTTGAAATTCAAAAGTTTTGGGTTTACTTTGATATGATTGTAAGTAATAAATTCTACGCAAAATGTCATCCAGTAAATAATACTCTTTAATGTCTAAGAATCTATTGTAATATGTATTACAGTTTCTCGAGAGTGGCTCCGAGAGATTCTATAAAGTAACACAATTTCGAAATTCATACTACTTTAAGGTGTTATTTAATTCGAAGTTATGATGAATGATTAGGAATTTCGTGTTTCATATTTTGTTTTTTGAAGTGAAATATTCGCGAAGGTGGCCTTTGGTAATAATAATGTTACCCTTTTTTTTTTACTATATTTGAACTCTCACTGGTTAGCAAAAGACTTTAAGTTGAATAAAATGAGTGCATTATAGTTAGATTTGTCTCATTGACGAAGAAGTAGGTCATCAGTTAGCTTACATGACTAGCGATAGTTGACATAGTTCATAAAATTTAGCTATTTCATCTGAGTCAATTTAAGCACACTATTGATGACTCTTTCCCAATAGGAATTAAACAGCCATCTCGTGTTCAGATCACTGCTTTTGTAGATCGAAAACTTCAGCAGTATCTTAGTTCATTTTGATTCTAAGCTTTTTATGATAGTATCTTACATTATGAAGGGCTTTAATGCACTGGCATGCACTTATGGAACACATATATCATTCATCCGCTAATCAATTTTTTAAACTTAACTCTTCTTTACCTTCCTAGCTTTGGTAAGTAGTGTGTAAGTACATCTAAGATGTAGTCGGGCCATCAAACCCAGAGTTGGAAGATAACATCATGAGCTGGAAATAGTCTGTTTTACACCAAAGTATATCTCAGTACTACTCATATGGCTTTTCTGTCAAATGCGAGTAGTACTACAGAGACAAAGTTAGTGAATCATGGAAGAGTATCCTCATCTGTAAGATGCCAGATATCCCAATTGCAGACTAAGTTTTGCGCTCATACACGTTTTGCTTCCTCTGAACATCGAGGTAACTCTGGAAGTAGCTCATACTGGCGTATATTGCTTTAGCTACCGAGGCATTGTGAGGTTTCTTGTGTATTTTACCTCCGTCAGAACTCATCCATCTATTCCTCTGCGAAATCTGGGCTATTTCTTTGAAGCGATCGTAGGTTATGGTTAGTACCAAAAGCTCTTACCAGTTTTTCAAAAGAACATTGTAAATATATTACCTGCCGAGGTTTATAATCTATGACTAAGATGCGACCGTATTATTTAACAGTAAAACAATGTCCACACATTTAAAGTAGAAAAGTCTGACGATATGATAAGTTTACATCGGTGTTACTATATAGGTTTCTTCAGAATATTACGTATGTGACAGAAAGGTGGAAAAATTGAGCAAGTGTTTGTAACCTGTGTACTAATTTGAAAAAGGTAGGCGGTTGTTTACTCTCATCACCTTGTTCCTTTTTTCACTGAACTTCCAAGCTATCGATCAATTTTCTCAAGGTACTGTTTTTATAGAAAATCTAAACTATGGTACTTTGAAGTGTGTTGAAGATAATCCTGGTGTTCAATCTTCTGCTGGAGAGTTAACTCATAATTAAGGCACTCATCACCCAAAAGAAAAAAATCTTTTACTAATGAGCTATTTATTATACTTTCACAATTTGCATAGTACGGCATGTAATTTTCCTGTAAATAATATCCAGTAGGCGGATGCCTTGATAACTAACCGACAACTTATGATCAAACTAGTGCTGTTTAATACTACCACACCGTAAAATTATGAAACACTGAGTTCATTCATCATTGCGATCAATATTTCACTTCCATTTTTAAAGCAGGCCAGATGTTTAGTTATATTTTACTCTTTGAACTTCTATTCAAAATAAGACTTTTAAAGTGGCGGAGTGACTTGCTATTATGTCTCCACTTCTGTAACCATATTTAAGAACACTATGCAAACATTTTGTCGAGATTATCACTCTAAAAATCGGAGTAACAGGCTTTGTAAAGGACTGTCTAAGTAACATATTGAACTCCATTTGAACTGAATCGTTATGCAACTGAGATTATTTAATTCATTCAGTCTAGTTGACTATATATAATGTTGTTTTTCGTTCGGTATCCCATCAAGTCTATTTAAATGTTTCAGTGTTGGATAAACAGTCATCGCAAGCGTATCAAAAAAAAGTCTTAGGGTCCCAAAATGAATGCTGCGCGATACTCCCTAATTTTCAATGTTGGTTCCCTTGATGTATTTTAACGATTACAGATTGCATCGAAGCTAATCCAAAACGTCTGTCGTATTAAGGATGCATATATATTGAAACTTGGGTCTATCAAAATATTACGCGAAATAGATGCACAATGGTTTGAACTTTCTTCCGCGTATTTTGGCTAAATGATAATGAAATTATTGTACTTATGCACATTGATGTCGTGGAACTTTAATTGTATTTGCTCTATAAAACTTGAAATGTGTTCCTCATGTCTGGATTAAAATGTCCAATAATCAACTGTAGTGTGGATTATGTAACTAGGCAACAGATTGCTTCATGAATATAAACTAACTTTAATATTCCCTCATATTATCTATGGTTATTTGTCATACTTTTGTTTTCCTTTCAGCAGCTCCTATCTACACAAGAAGATTTAACTCTCAATGACTGATGTCAGCTCGAGTTTAGTTCAGTGGAGTGAAAAGGAAATTCTACCAAGGGGAATTTTTTTAACCTCCTCTGGATCTGGTGGAGATCGTCTGCTGTTCTGGCAGTCTTCACAAACAAATAACAATAATAGTACTGTAGAGAAAGATCACGGTGGATGTGGTGAGGATAATTCATCGAATGGTAGCACTTCTCATAGTCAAGAATCTGCAGTATCAAAGTAATTTTGAAATGTTCACTGTTTATATTTCATAATGGAGCAGTACTTTTGTTTGGGTGATTGATCCTATGAGTAAACTATCTGTTAACTTTGTTTAGTAATGATGGGCAGTGGCTAGCAGTGGAATACAAGCAATAACACTAAAATATCTGTTAACTTGTTTAAAATCTCACTCAAATACCTTAGATAGAATGTGACATTTTCAGTATAGTGTTGGGTTAATAATTTTGCTGGGAGGATGCCTTCGATGTGAAAATAATTCCAATCAAGAGATTATATCGATTAAAAAACCTTAAAAAACCCGAGGTCATTAAATAGCTGTCTCATTTCAACCGTTAATTGCTTATTGACCATCAGTGTTTCTGAAACTGATTTCACTTCTCATTTAGTGAGAACTGTCATTAAATCAATTGAGTTTGACGGATCGCCAACACGGCTCGGATTTCAGTCTGTGAGTTGAATAGTTAGGTAGTAAATCTTTTCTTGCCTTGTCAAATAACTTTAGAAAGAAGTAAAGTTTTACAGTTCCTCGACATGCAGCAGATCAACTTATCCTAATGAATTTGAATGTAATTACGTTCAATTATTCAGACATCTCTACCGATTAGATATAGTCTGTATTTGTGCAAGTCACAGCAGGTTTAAAATGAAATGACTCCAGCGTTTCTCACGAAAGTTTGGTCCGAGCTGCTTCAGGGAAATGATTTTGGTTATTTCTTCTATTCTTTGTTAAAATTCTGTCTGTTGGCTGTTGTGTTACGTCGATTTTAATCGCTGCTGATGGCTTTAAGTGAATATTTTCAATAAATTTCCCTACATTCTTATTGCTTTCTGCATTCATGATCTGTACATCATCTGTTAGAATGCATATACATAAATTTTAACATTCATTGTTAATGAGACAAAAACTAGTATCCTTTAATTCTCATTCTGTGTTCGTAAATGCGGGAAATACGAGGGTAGCAACTTGAGACAATCCACCTTTTTCACTATTGTATCTTCAAGCTGGCGTATTATGAAATGGCTTTATAGGTTTGTGGGTGAGGATCGATAAAAAAGCTTGTAATTTTCCGTTGCTATACAGGGCCGAATTGCTCGACCTCTGTTGGCAGATGGGCTCCTATGCGGATGCCTAGATACTACCGGGTATTCATGCTTATATACAACTCAACCGTATTAATTTTTGTAGTTCGGAAATCAAAATTTTGTGTGGTTATGCGGATGTAGCCCGTCGTCTTTAGATTTTGACTTCCAGACAATAAGCTTCAGATTCAAACTGCTCTCCTTCTACTTCTACATTGGTGACCGAGTATTAGCTGTAAATTTTCACAAACTAATTGCGGCTCATAGCCTGTTTCATACGCCTGTACATGATTGAGTTTCAGCTTGTTAGTTTTTGTCCGATTCCTAACTTTTTATTGTTTTGGAAAAGTTTCTCGTTGAATACTGAATATTTTCTACTTCGTTTTTAATAATTATTGATGCAAATGACCCTATCTACGTTTCTTTCACCTAAAAATATGTTTTAAAATGTGTGTCTTTTAATGTCACTATTAATGAACGCTTAAGTTTTGCGTGTTTTCTGTTAAAAAGTTGAGAAATGGTGTCGTCAACCTATTATGGTTTAGTTGGAATCAGTGTCTTAGATTCTTTGAAACAGGTATTGGTCCTTCATTATATAATTTTGTTAGTCGTTTGGGCTGTGCACATAGATTACGTTCGTTAGTTCATGCTTTAATCACCGTGGAGTTATGGCTCAGTGGTTTGGGGGGGGGGGTGATTATCAACCCTTGGGTCACGCGTTCGAATCCGGATTCACCTATGGAGGTTTGAGCATCCAGGTAGTATCACTAGCCCTCACACAATAGGTGTGGCTGATTACTTATCGCACGGATGTTCACAACGTGGGTGAGTGCGTTTCTTTTGTTCGTGTTAATAACCTTAAAATGTATGTTTCGATATAAATCAGGATATGATTTGTGTAATTTCAGCTTTCTATAAAACCAAGGAAAAACACGCTTAATAGGTTTTGACGGCCAGTAATCGTGCTCTATCATCGATCTTTTTTGATGGTTCTGTTGTTTTGGTTGTTCAACTCTTTAAATGATTTTTACAAATAATTATCATATATTACTTTCTTTAGGGTAGATAGCGAAGATTCTATATACAGTCTTCGTTTTTCATAGCTGAATTCCGCTTCAAACTAGTTGAACAAAACGTTCATTTTTATTTTGAATTCAATGTGCAAACCGTCATCCTTATATCATGTATCATCTTTTTCTCAATTTTCCCATTTTTATATTGAATTTGTTTATTCGATAGGTAGCGCACGGTAATACAGTATTATTTACTTGATGGTGTTTCCAGCATAAATAATTGCTCATAATCATGTCAATGTAATCACACTCCTTTCGATATCTAATTTTTATAGTCCTATCACCTTATATTTGTTTTTATTGGTAGTAAAATTTTCCATATCTCTGGTATATGTGTTGCATCATTCCTATTACATGTGTTGAGTGTAGAATCGATGATTACTGAAGCTTTGATGCAGCACATATACCAGAGATATGGAAAATTTTACTACCAATAAAAACAAATATAAGGTGATAGGACTATAAAAATTAGATATTGAAAGGAGTGTGATTACACTGACATGATTATGAGCAATTATTTATGCTGGAAACAGCATCAAGTAAATAATAGTATATCACTGTGCGTTATATATTGAATAAACAAATCCAATATGGAACTACGTTCTACCACAGTGCCAAAATTTTATACTTATATTTTCCACTTTAAATCACAATAAGATTACTATTTGATGGTATTTTATATTTGTCGTTACATGGTAATAATTTTTGTATCTGCTTTTTTTGATCATGACACTAGTTTTTTTCATTTTCATTGTATTGGAACTTGTATCCTTTTTATTTCTTCGGTGCTTATCTTCTTTTAGGAATACTGTATCTGTTTCGAATCCCGTCGCAGAATCCTCTATTCATGGTTTCAAATCGAAAAATACCAGTAATAGTCGAGGTCATAATAACAATGAAAATCCATTTGCACTTAGTGTAAGTATAATCCTGTAGCTAATACTTTTTTTTTGCCTCAACGTGCGAATTTTCAGAGTGAGTTATCCCCTCAGAGAACAACTGACTGTGAATAATTATAGTTCTGTATTTATTTTTGAATTATGATGTATTTGTAAATATTTTTCAATTATTTTATGACTTTTATAATGCAGCATCACACACCGCTTCATAAATTTTAGAAATAATACATAACACTTTCATTGAAATCATATACAATAACTAAATAAATATGAGTTACCCTTATGATTGTCACCGTAGAATTTGAAGTTTTTAGGGTTAATTTATCTCAGTTTGTTAGTAGCAGTTTAATTAAGAGTTACTACAATATCTTAGTTTTATACGTTTTCATTCTTCCCCATAGGGAAAACATTCTCCATTGCGAATTCATGCTTTATTTTCCGCAACCAACTAGTTATAAGTGCGAAGTATGAAAATGCTCTGTTTCATTCTATTTCTTGTGTGTGTGTGTTTGTGTGCCAATGCTAATGCTGTTGTATAGTTATTTACATTGTGTATAAGTAGATAAGTTCATTGTCAATTTTCTGAGTATTTTTGGAGGTGTAAGGTTAACCCTAAGCATTCACGAATATGTATTCCATTACTGCATATATCGGAAGTCATTTCTACACATTTTTAAAAACCACATCTTTGCGTCCCAAAGTAATTTAAACACTTGCTTTCGCTAAATTGGCTGCCAAAAAGTGCCACTGATATACAAACCTTTTTGTGGAATTAGTTAAGAGCGTTTTCAGATAGTTCGAACTACCATTGGAAGGAAGTTTGATGTCAGCGAAATAGTTTATTAGGTGGATGCTATACGAATGAGAAATCTTGAAAGATGTTGAGATAAGAAAGGGACATTTTGTAAAGTAGTCCAACTGACTATTTAAGCCGTTGACTTTGAACGCGTCTTTGAACTTCACTGTTAGCTCCTATCAATTAAACTGTCAAAAATGGAAAGTTTGAGGAAGTAGCGATAAAACGAAAGCAGACGTGTAAGAATAAGGTTGAATAAGCCTCTCCAGTGTATCTTAATCCGATTGTATGAACATTAAACACCTTTTTATATTCTTCACTACATTATCGCTTTATTGTGCATGGAGTAGGTGTAGCTCATTGACTGGAATATTTAACTTCATACCAATGAGTCATGAGGTAACACCCTATGCCATCGACTTCGACCTGGGCAACTGGGTAGTTTAGCAAACCCTCAAACAATAAGTATGGTGTATAGTTGTGTAGCGTATTTTGTTGAACTCGCCTTCATTCTGCCAGGTTTTCATATTCTAAATAATGGCAAAGTTCTACTGTAACTAATTATTGCTCAAAATGATACAGATGCATTCATACCATCCTCCTACTAATTTGTATTACAACTTCTTTAAACGTCCTGGTTCCTTATCCACTCATTTCCTTTTTTACTTTACTAGTTTGTTCCTCATTGTGAGGTCAGCAGATAGACATGAGCCCACTTACTATTGAATTAGGTTTTGTACTATTCAGTGTAATAACTTCTGTCGGTTAAGCCGCTCTTGTTACCTCTATAATCGCAGTAAATTCATTTTTCGAGCTCTGAACTTAATGTCATTATTGTCTGATTTAAATGTACTACATTGATAACTAAGCTTCATTCGTCCTTATGCTTTCCATATCTGCAATTACCTTTTTTTAGTTAATCTCTGAACGCACAATGTTTTGTAATGAGAACAGTTTAGGAAATAGTCCTATTACTGGTGGACTTATACCGAATTTCATGGGTTCATCAACTGATCGTACACTGAATAATTGTCCAACTATCTGTTCAAATATTACCTCCAGCCTGTGTAATACAAGTTCAATGTCTTCAAATAATCCAGTCGGCAATGTAACCACAAATTTATCGAATACTAATATAGTTCTTGGAAGTCTTTATTCAACTGATTCATCGTTGCAAGTGTCTTCTAATGAACCGCCTTTAATTGGTAATCTAGGAATTTCAAATATAGAAGGTATTCCAGCAAATGTATTGCTAAGTCTTTTACACCAGCAGACTCAATCACTTCAACGTAAAATCTATATTAAGGTAATTCTATTATCTTTATCAATATCCATGCATTTTCATTCAATGTTACCTGCAGTATACTCGTTTTCCAAATATTTATGAACTTTTAAATTACGATAACAAGCTCACTTACGTTAAGAAAATTATCACCTTTTTACTACTTAGTTGATGAAAAACCTTTTATGGTTTCACGGAGAAATATCAGAAAATTGTTGTCAAGAATTGAAATTTGAATTCGTTCACTTGGTTACATTGGTTGCTATGTCGTTGCTTGTATTACCCCCTCGTTAGTTGGATCAAATTGACCGGTTTCTATTGGCTTATGGGGCTCCTACGTGGAAGCCTCGATATTGCCTTTCGTTTTAGTTTTACAGAAATGATGGATAGTAGCAATGGAGTTCAGGACGTGCGTTCCGTCCTACTTGGGACTCGTCAGCTGGATGTACCTGCCTTCCAGTGAGCGATGTTGTTCCCACTAGGACTCGAACCCGGGGACCGATCCCTGACTCCACGGCGATATCGAGGCGTCCGCTCAAAAGCCCACATGCCAAGAGAGACCGATCAATTCGGTCCAATCAATGATAGGATAATAAAAGCTACAACATGAAAACTATATCCATTGCACAAGAAATGTCTGACGTGACTCGGTGGCCTAGTAGATAACTCTGTGTCGTTTGAAGCGATCGACTCTGGGTTCGAGTCTTGGTGGGAACAATAATGCTTACCAGGAGGTAGGTACATCCAGTTGACGGGCTTTCTGAGTTTCCTTGTTGGCCACTATCCATCATTTCTATAGATTAGTTGCTGTTTGGGTGAGATTTGGACACTTGCTTGTTAGCACTTATGAAAGAAGAGAGTTCAAGGGATCATTCTAGGTTTGAAACTAGATTGTTATCTCTCTATTATCGTGATATACCTCCTAAGCTATTTTATTTATAACTAGGTATTATGATAAGAAAAACTGAAGTTGACAAGGTTAAAACTCGTTGCAGAAATATGTTGTTTCAGATCTTTCTCATGTAGCCTATATCAAACACGCACTATGAATAAGCTGTTGAATTGTGGCTTATAATAAACTCATTAGCTCACAGATACGCACCTATCACTGATAAGTGATGAAGATAGTCAATATACAGTTAGCATAAATTCATAATTATTAGGTGATTGAATTACTGCCCGCATAGCCAAATGCTTTTGCGATTAGCTATAAAAGTGACTAACCAAGGAGTGAAGATGGTGCACAATGTAAAATCAAATGAAATGAAGTGATGTACAGAATTACATGGATTCTTTAAAAATGAATGAACGGTATGGTTTGAAATTCACACATGCACACACACACTCAAAAACCGCAATAGCTCATTGGGTACATGTAGGAAAATTCTGGGTGTGTAATATTTACAGTTAATTATAATAATAATCCTAAATATGATAGAACTTAGTAGTCATGGTGTACGGGCTCGTAACAAGCCATAAGCCACACCTATTACATGAGGGTGTGCTGTTTTCTGAATTAAACTATTATTTCATTTATTCGCATTTAGGATCCTTTATAACTAGTTACTAAGACTGACACACGGAGGAAAAGAATTGTAATTGCAATATGTGTGTTTCAGGAAGTTCTCAAAAAGCTGTTACACCAAACAGTTCACGCAAGCTCAATCGTGCTGTTTTAAATACCTGTATTTACGGTAACATATTCACAGTAGCGTGGACTCAGTTGCATTTAAAAGATAACCAGTAGAAATATAATATTAGTCAGAGTAGCATTGAATATCAATAACCAGTAGGAATATCGTTACAGATGCAGATATTTTTTATGACTCGACTGAACCTAACTTATGAATGTATTACATGTTTGTCTGAACAGTAACGAATCAGTCACAGACGACTACTAGGAATGGGTGGTTGCTAAAACTTCAGTAGGTAAGACACGATCATGAAATCTTAGGTGTGGATAAGTTTTTTATGTAGAAGCAGTCATCAGAAATGAGTTGGTTGGAGACAATCGCCTGGAAGCCATGGACCTAATTTTCGTGCCAGTAGATTTCAACTAATTTTTTTCTGTAAACGGGTGATAAATTAATTTCAATTGTTGACCAGTGGAGCCCAACCAAGTCGAACATAAGGACATTTGATGGAAGTGGCGCCATATCATAAACTGACAAATAAGAAATATGGACCATTTGATTCCGACCCAGTGGCTCAATGTTAACGGGCTGGCCACGAAACCCAAAAGTCCTGGGTTCGAACCCTTGTGGATGTGCACTATTGAGAAGTCCCACACTAGGATAAAACAGCTTTCCAGTGCTCTCAGGGTTCCAATGTTTATCCTACTGATGTCAGTCTATTATGAATATCAACCTAGAATAAATTTTAGTCTATATAATAAAAAAATTCTTTCACGTGTTTGGAGCAATCCATAATGTATCCCAACAACTGAGCCAAAAAAATCAGTATGATTCAATGCCGTACTGATTATGGATAATTTTCAGAGTTTACATCCTGCTTTCGTTTATTTTTTTTGTCGCTATAATTTCTGTTGTTTTATCATCCAAAAATTTATCTTCAGTACTTATACTTCCTATTTATTGTCACTTTTGATAGTTAGAAAACAATATATTTGTTGGTGCTGCATTTAACTTATCCCCTTCTGATACTGAGGGTGTCGGTCTAAGAGAAGACAATAATGATTGTACTACAAAGAGTTGTGATGATGAATCACTTCGAAAAACCGTTCATACTACTATGATCAGCTTTACTGTTGGTTTCCTCATGGATTCATCCGCTCCTCCTTCTGTATTATCTTATCTTACTGAATTATCCAGATTGGTAAGTGATATAATGGTAATTAGACTATCATTATTATTCAACTTTGGGAGAGATAAATATGTATTTGATCATTATATTTAGTTGTCGTTTCGCCAATTTAGTCGAATAATTTTCCAAAGCACATATCGTAATTGGGTAGTTAGCCCAGCCAATTAAATCAATACAAAAGAGATAATTCAACTTGGAGGCCTGTGAGGAATTATTGATTGATTTCAGGTTGGTATTCATCATGAACTGACATCAGTTGGAGGAACATTGGAGGCCTGAGAGCACTGAACAGCCGTTTCACCCTAGCTATTCACCCCTATGACCCCGCTAAGAGACCAACCCAAGAATTTCAGATTCTGCGGCTAGCACGTTATCATTGAGCCATTCGGTTGCAATCCAATAGTGCTCATCGGTGACTCGCTTCGAGAGGTGATTCCCGAAGTCCTAATGAGAAGTCGTGACCGGTGGAGTCAACCAAGTCGAACATGAGGACAGTTACTCAACGATGGGGTTAGATGGAGGTGGCTCTGTATCGTGAACTAGCAGAAGTAGGAAATATGGACCATTAGACTCCTACCCAGTGGCTCAATGGTAACGTGCTGGCCACAGAACCTGAAGGTCCTGGGTCCGAACCCTGATGGCGTGGGGTCATGAGTGCGCACTGTTGAGGAGTCCCATACTGGGACGAAGCAGTTGTCCAACGCTCTCAGATTTCCAGTGTTTCTCCGACTGATGTCAATTCACTATGTATACCAACCTGGAAACAAAAGGAATAAGTTAAAGCCGTCATTATGTATATGCAAATTTAATAACTGAATTTGACAAAATTTTTGAATGTTAACAAGATGGCATAGTATTCAATCAACATCAAGTTATAATGACTATCTTTTTGAGTCAAACAGTTTTTTGTCACATCAAGACAGCAACCGAAACTGAATAAGAACTATAACCGTATGGGAACTAGCAAGTTTCGGATATGCGGTTCCATTCTCAACCTGATTAGCCCTGAAAATCTGCTGGTAACCAAGTTTTGGTTGTCATTCTGGTATGTTTTCTACGTAATTTGCGTCACAGACTGACTTCATAAAGTCGTTGCAAAGGAGAAAGTATCTAACAGCGTTTTTTCCAAATTCAAGGGACCTGACTGGTGATCAACCTCAACTGCCTATGAAAACAAATGCAATTCTATCATTGATTAAAGAAAACAGGATTTGTTCGTATACACTTATTGCTACTTTTGTTACTACATTGAATTAGGTGGCCACCCTTGAATGCCGTTAGTAGTTGCTTATCTTAGCTGCTGATGTCCTTTATCTCATCAATGATAACTTTCTCATCGAACACTAGGGTATATTTGTCAAATTGAGTTACCAGGGGTGTTGTTCAGACTTTTAAGCTGTTTATAGTTTTATTAGGAAATCTTTAATTTAGAGCTAGTATCTGAATAATTCCCCTTCCTAATTACTTAGGTTTAAAGTACAACTACCTAAAGGAAAGTGAAATAACCTACTTAAAGTTTAACTCGTTTCTTAGTCCTACAGTAACTAGCTTTGTAACTCATTTAGTGAAAGACTTACAACAATTTAGGAACCTCCAATTCAAATCCAGTTATAAACGTTTTTCTAGGAGTTCAACCATACTTTTGGGATACATGGGAAGAGTGGGTGCATTAATACCATTTCAGGAAGTAGAATTAGTGCATTCGTAATGATAATAATAATTATAACAAACCTTTTCACGTTATATAAAGCTAATTTGTATTCAGATCAGTGTGATATATAACCTTGAGCATTGTTTACAAGCATGTTTATAAAATGTTTGTTAGCATTTTTCAATCCGTCAGTATCTTCACGTAAATCTGAATATTTTTCCAGATTGGCTCTCAGATACGACGTGCAGAATTAATGTTCAATTATCTTAGAGATCAAAGAGATATAATCACTTCCACACTAGAGAAATACTCTTATGCCGATGCCAATACTTCAACGGACCACATCACAAATAGATATGGATCAGACAACTTCAGCACCCCGAGATTTAATCAATCCCTTCCGAACAAGCGTCATATGAAACTGTCTGAAGTGGTGAATTCTGAACGAGAGAATAATCTCTCTAATCCTGCTGTAGATCATAATTTTAATGAAAATCAATTAACTCCTCAAGCTGGTGTTAATCAACCACCCAATGAAAACGCTGTTACAAATCATATTAATGATAATGATTCTAATGACAAGTGGAATGAGACAGTCACAATGAATCCGTTGGAACGATTAGTTCAGATATCATCTCTGTGCTCTGAACTGAAATGTATACTTGATTCAATTTGTAAAACAGGTCATGTAAATGTTAAGGTAAATGGAATCGCATAACAATTGGATTCAGTATGGTCTACAATCCAATGGAGTTAGAGTGGATAAAAGAAACTCCTCAAAAATATTTTCATTAGTAATTGTACTCCATACCATTGATATGTCAAATGATAAAGCAGAACCATGTTTAAAGTTATCAATCTTTATTGCCAGTTGGCCTGTGAGTGGTTCTGCCTCACTGCCTGATTTCTCTATCCCCACGAGTACAACTGCTAATGAAAATAATCCTGAGAACTTTCTGTTATCTAAGTAGAGTTGTATTTTAAATTGATTTGTTTTATCGTGTTGTTGAAAGAAAAAGTATCAGATTGAAACGTCGTTTTAAAAGAAACATTTCTAGCAGTTCTCATCACAAACTAACGTCCATTAGATGAACGAGTGAACAGCTACTTTTTACACCGAAACCTTTATTTCGTACAACAGATGACCTTAAGGTCTTTTTTTCGGTACTCGATAAATTAGGTCACTCTAGTAAAGGCTAAAGGTTGACATTTTTACAACTCCATGTATTTGTAATTCAGTAATTAACAACCTTTTGTTAATGCTTGAAAGCTGACTGGCTTAACTTGTCATAACTTAACCATTTCACCTGATGAATTGATTTATTGATGAGTAGTACTTCTTCAGAAAAACTACTTGTTTCATACATAGGCTACGTTTTTGTCCTGATATTGTTTACAGGGTCTAATCATACAAAGGCTTATCACTACACTTAATGGCGACGATGAAAGACAAGTGAAGAAATATGATTATGCTGTAGAGCATTGCCTCTTTAGTAGTAGTGTACTGAAAAGGTGTACTTTTCTGAGGTTGGTTGACAAAGTCTATGAAGTGCAACAAAGTCATGTAAAAAAGTAGCACATAGCACTCTCGAAATCATAACAGTGGCGATGGAAATGGGATATTGGGAAATGGGTTCTTCGAAGTTGAACAATTTCCTCGAACAACAAATGAGGACTGTCGAGATACTTACGCAATCCAAAATTTCTGGTACTGAATTCCCGCCTATTACGCCATTTTTAATACCTCCTCCAGTTGATGGCATCTCCAATAGCACCACTGAATTTCACTACGATCCTGATGCTAATTAAACTTTTGATGCTTGGTTCAGGCCTTACGAAGACTATTTCAAAGTTGATTTTGCTGGCCAAGATGATTCCTGAAAGGTATGCTTGCTACTTTGAAAGCTTGGTCCACCTGAGCTAGACCAATACTGCAACATGATTTCGCCGCAGAACCCACGTGACCGCACTTTCGGTACTACAATCCAGAAACTGGATGACATGTCTGCAGAATATCAACGACTGGGTAACCTGAAGCGTGATATGAGTTTAGCCTAGTCCGGACGCCAGGATGGTTCTGAAGTATATACAGTTCTCCAGACATCTCATTCCTCTGCATCAACCTCTGACTGCACATCCTCTGGCCTTATCTCCCCAGTTCATTGGCCCAATAACTCATGTGATACCAGCCGACCGTCAAAGAAGACACCCCCATCGCCTTGCTGGCATTGTAATGCCTAGTATTTCGTCAAATGTTGTCCACCTAAACAACATCGATACCAGGACTGTAATGCTGGGGGCCATAAGGACGGTTTTTGCCGCCAACACGCACGACGTGTACAAAGGTCATCCTCTAGATGCCACCGCAGATCTCATCCTCGTTTGGCAAGTAAAACTCTTGGCTTGATAACTAATTTTCAAGCTCATGCACCTGCCCGCCGAAAGAATATCGAGAAGACTACTGGTCCTCCAGTAAACAAGGAGAAACTCTCTCTGCGTCGGTCAGATGGATGCAAGGAAAAAGACAGTGCGCCCCAGTCTGACCCCAAATAACATTCTTTCGAAGTGGGAGGTGATATGGAGATAGAGAAAGATGACTAGTCTCGAGAGGGAATAATCAAAATGTACTTTATGTTATAACTTCTATAGTTAGACAGACACGGTGGATCAGCCAATCAATATTATTATTTTAAACAGAGAACTATCTACATATTAACTATATTTTCCTTTGTTTTGGGCCTTCAGTCTTTCGACTCCAATGCACTTTTCTACACGTTCATCGTGTCTTCTGCATTAATTAGTCGGGTCGGGAATCAAGTAGGAATTTGTTGAACGTTGGTGGCTGGCACTCGATATCCGTACATCGTTAGCAGCCATAGCACATAGCATTTTTCGAATCATAACCAAAAGGCAACTGAAAAGGTTGTTTTGCTATGCATTTGAATACTGTGGTTATTTTCATCATTAATCATGTTTAATGTAATTGTGACGAGGATTTAGAAATCATTCTTATCAATGAGCAATGCACACTGGTCACATCAGGATGATCTAAACAGCAAATATTTATAATGTGGAAATGTATATCGTTTGGATTTCTGAAATGCTTCAGTACATTTACTCCACATGAGTTGAACTTCTAACAAGTGAAGAAGCTGCTCAATAATCAAATTTTAAAGATTCAGCTAGCAAGCACTGTTCATTCCTGTGAATAGTTTTAAATAATGCATGCAAGATGTTGGTGTATATCTTTAGCTGGACGGCTTTTACCCCAAGCGCTTGATATTGTTGGTGACATCAACCAAATCGAATCCTATAATTTAAATATTTTAATTTACATATGAAACCACGTTTGTATTTTGATTTCAGGTTGCAAAATGTTTTGTCCATTTTCATTTGGGACTGTATATTGTGCAATCAATTAATTCTTTTTCAAGTGGTTATTATGCAATAGGTGTCAAAAAGTACTGTGAATTTTGAGTTCTGTTTAGAATATATGCATTAATTGAAACGCCCTGTTAACTTTAATCCAGCCTACATATTCACCGTAACCTACTGACAAGGATAGTTAGCTAAATTAAAATTTCCAATGAAGCTTTCCGTCTAACCTTGTTTACTTTTATCCATCCAGTTAAAAAACAACAGAAAATACCTCTAATCTCTAGGCCTGATCATTGGGTTAACTTACTCGACTTACTCACCAATGTAAACCAATTTTCATGGGATTATCAATTAAGACTTTATAGTTTCAGATAGAAATTTAATCTTGAAGTTAGCTCATGCTTTTGAGATTTTACGCTAATTAATTCTCTGGATTGAAATGTTGACTTTTATTTTCCAAGTTGTTCACTTTTAACAGTATATACGCACCTGTGATCAACATTTCAGTTTATAGCCTTATTTATTACTTCTGTTTGGTGATGTCTATCGTGTTTCTTACTTGACTGAATAAGATTTAGTGCAACAAGTATAAGGTTTATCATCTTTTGTGAAATCCACTCTATATATTTAACGGCTGAAGTATGTGTCTGTTGTTACTGCAACATACTGACGATTCACCCATAGATTGATTATTCATACGATTAGCCTCACCTCCATGACCTCACACGATAGAAAGCAGTTTGACTACTCACTACGCTTTTTTGTCTGTGGTCTGAGTCATGCATATATACAACTGAATCACATGTTTACAACTCACTGTAATTCTTAAAAAGGAAATAACTGGTTTCATAGGTAGGAGTAAATCTGCAGGGTACCCCAGCAACCACTGATATTAGCAACCAAGTATTTCTGTTTCGTATAATTGTTTTTATATCATACCGTCGTTGATTGGATCGAACTGATCGGTCTCTATTGGCATATGGGATCCTGTGCGGATGCCTTGATATTACCGGTGCTCTAATGGTAGTAATGATGGATCGCGGCTAGCAGTGGAACCAAGGATGCGCATTTCGTCCTATTTGGGACTTGTCAGCTGGATGCACCTGCTTCCCTGTGAGTGATATTGTTCCCAGCGGAATTCGGACTCGGGAGTGGTTGCTTCAAACACCAGAGTGTTATCCTCTACACCACCGAGCCACGATAGCCGCTTCTTGTGCGACGGGTATAGTTTTTAGTATTATTGTTTTTATATAATACCGTCGTTGATTGGACCGAACTGATCAGTCTCTATTGGCATATGGGATCTTGTGCGGATGCTGATGAGTCCCAAATAGGACGAAACGCACATCCTGGATTCCACTGCTAGCCACGATCCGTCATTTTTCTGTTTCGGTTAGAAAAATAGTTTTTTTTTCGTAAAATAGGGAAATCTAACGGCTGGCTATGTCGACAGTTTTTTGGGTGACTTTTAAGGTTACTCCATTTGTAGATAGTGGAACAACGAGCAATAATCAGTTTCATCTAGAATTCATTCATTTCGGAACCATTAGTTGTAGAGAACTGACTAAGGTGTTAATAAAAAGCTCTTGAGTCGAGCTACGCAATAATACTCTACCATGAATAATCAAATTGATCGGCTTGGTCATGGTTTTTTATATTCGGTTGGTGATTAAATAACCAAGTTATAAAATCAGTGTTCAACAATGACTATGATAAGACTAATTACATAAATGGTTTATGTGTTCCAGTCATTTAGTTTATTTCATTCTTACTCATTAGCCTAAAACGATCATGAATGTATGAAAGCAAGCTTGAGAAGTTCCTCTTGACATTTACCTAAAAAACCAAACTACTGAATATGAAGTTTGTGTGCAAAAACCCACTTGACTGACAAACATCTGAAGACTTGTATAATATTGCCAGCTGTCATACCGACGTATTTTACAGCCTAATGGGTGAAACTGTACATACTTTTTACCGATTATTTGAGCATCTGCTGCTATCCCCATTACTATGAATATCTTTCCAAATACTCACATACACATTCGGAAGAGGATATCGGAGTAGTTAACATTTATTTAGCTGCAAGTCGGAAGAAGGTTATTTTAAATCAAAATTCTGTCCATGCATTTATGTACGCGTAACTTATGGATTTGATTCAGAAATTTTTATTTTGAATGAGGGTTAACTTACGTTGAACTTAGTAGTCCAAAACCATAGTATAATGATATTTCTAGTTTATTCATAGCAACCTCAAATTTCACTAGGGAAATAGTAGGAAAGAGCCGGTTATTCTGTATCATTGATTCAATTTTCTAAAACAGTAGATATAAAGAAACTAGTATATTCTTCTCACATGGGACTAGTGCTTGATTTGTACTAAATTGTAATTTAAAATCCTGTAGTTAATTTTTATGACCTTGAATAACATAACAGAAACGTCTTTTACTGATGAACTAGTTAAGTAGTTTAAGTCGACTGAAGATGTCAACCAGCCACAAAATCGTTTTAATCAATAATCCAAGATATGTTATTCACTTAGTTTAACCATCAACCACTGAATATGCAAGCTTCATATGAAAGAAAACATCTTTTTGCTCGTATATTAAATGGTCTCGGGAAATGACTATGGTGATTTCAATTGCTTCTAACCAACAATTATCTGAAAAAAGACTGAAAGTATGAATTTTCCAAGTGTTATACGAATATAGTTGATGTTAAAAAGGAATATTAAGTTATGCATTCACACACTTCTCTTCTTTTCTCTTTTAAGATTAACAAAATTTATCCAGTCTGTTTTTGTCTACCACACAAAGCCTACTGTTTGAACAACAACAATATTGGTGGAATTTCCAAGTGTATGATAGCTGTTCGACCGATGGCTATTTGGCGTGCAATGGATAAAATACGACCATATCATGCTCTAATATTACTACTACGTAAAAGTGATTTACTCAAGGATTATCTACCCACTGACATTAATCCAACACTGAATAAGTATGCTATGGGTAATTTGTGTAGTTAACGAACTGATTTACTGCATGTTATCACTATTAATGATATGACTGCTTTTTTGGGCTTTGTGTAGTTCACTAATCTAATTATTCAACTTTCTTCTTGTGAGTTATACGTCTGAATCCTGCTTCACCTCCCAAATATTTGGTAACTGAATGGGAACCTTAGTGATAAGTACCATTTATGTGACTATATACATGGTTGCTTATTTGCGTTACACTCAGTTTCTATTCCTATAAATAAAATAGTTTGTCCCCTACTCAGTAGAGGTCAAACGACGAGTAAACTGCTCGCCAGTTCCTTCTGTTATAAGACTGTGAGACATGGCTGTTAAAGGTAGAAGACATGAGGCGGTTACACGTTTTTGATCACAGGTTTCTTCATAGCACTGGTCGCATTTAGTGAAATCACCGTGTGGGCAATGCTGAGGTCAGGCGAAGGGTACTAGATAAGACAAGCAAGTCGAATGATGAGGTTGTAGACCTTAATTGAGTGAGATGGCTTGGACATGTGTTGCGCATGCCGATCCGCCGCCTACCTCGAAGTGCCGTTGTAGGGGAAGTTGTATTAGGTTTGAAGAGGGATCATGGTGACCAGATCACGATCTGGCACCAATCGATGAAGTGTCTTAGTGTTGACCTGAGCCGTGGGGTGGGTTGGTGGTGGTTGTGGTGTAAACTATCTGGTTGGGATCCTGAAGGTGAAAGGAATGAGTGGTTGAGAACTCTTTGTGAGGCAGCTAGAAATGAGTCACAATGGTGCAGATGTATTCCTTGACATTTAATGCTTGAATATTTGCACTAACCTTTATCTTCAAATTATTTGTTCTCTCACACTCCTTTTCATATTTCGATGTCACTCTTTATCTATCTGTTGTTTGTATACTACTGTGAATTATGGCAACTTGAACCGTTGCACCTGTATGCGAAGTTCTACGTTGATTTTATCTGTCTGACATAGTGAAGGGAAAGTCCCCTCTCAGTTTTAAATTTTATTGATACAAACTTGTGACTAGGATTGAGTGTATATATAACGCCTTTCATTCTAAGACAATCAGTCCAAGGATAAAGAATATCCTCACAATAATAGTAACATAAAATCCAATTCACTATCGTCTTTAACTCTTTTACGCTTGTGATCTTTTTTTTTGTTTTCATAGATTCCTGTTCATCATCTAGGCAACACAGTTTCTGTATAATATCTGACTAGTGATCGAATCTGTTTCATCCACAGGATGCATTTATTAGTACTGATTTATGTCACTGAACATTTTCTCGCCCAATTGTTGTCCATACAGATTGTAATAAGATTTAACCTAAATCTGATAGGAATTCAAATCTTGCAATTATTGTAAGATTTTCGTTTTACTCTTCCACTTAGTGTATAATTCTCCTAATTTAACAAAATTTTCTTTTGATACACTCAGTTAGTACAAGTGGACCACTCTAGATTTTGTAGTCACAAAATTAAAAAAAACATTCAGTTTCCCGCTGTAATATTTAATGTATGCAAACTATCGTAAATGCATTTAAAAGTTGAATTTTAATCAGGAATGTAATAAACTGCATGTTTACCAATCGTATTTATTTATTTAACATAAATGAAGTACAAGAAAAGCACGAGTGAATGTCACACTTCAGTTTGAACATTATTAGATTACACTTCGTCACTAGATGAAAACTTAAAATGGTGCTTTTCATAAAAAGAAAAGCACATCAAGATTTGTGTATAAGAATTCTTGAAAATAGGATATGAAGTCGCACACTTTACCGTCAGTAAAGTAGGACCCCAAAATCATAAACCGATATATGTATGTGACAAAAAGCGATTCGAACTAATAAAAGCATTTTCCTTGAACTATTCTACTACTTAAGTAATTATATGTTTGAGATATTCTATAATTAACCTGTATTGCTGCATGGTTTTGTCAAAGAAATCCAATAATTTTCATTACTATTCATTCTAGTTTATATATATATATATATATATATATATATATATATATATATATATGCATGCAGATAAGGAGTTGAACATTGGGCGAATTTCTCAATAAAAAATGCAGATTACGGTAATATGAGTTCAAACATATTGTGTTTATGATGACAGTTTGTTAATAAGTAATGAAGTAAAATGTTGAGCTTACAATGATACGGAGTAAAGTTATCCGTCGTCATCTTTTTGTAACTCTAGCGTTGAGTGTCATTGAAGACACTTCGATTTTGTGTTTCACGTTTTTGTTTTAATTGCAGTTGCTATTGTTTATCAAAAAAACCCGCTAGAATCTATTTTAAAACAAACATTCATCTCGTTCAATGTTTAATGTAGTTACTCAAATTGAAAAGTTGTGAATGTGATATACACTTTTTTGTATCAGTAATTCAATAAGTTATGTTTATTTCATGTTATTTTAAGTGTTTTCTCTTCGGTTAGTTATAAATACATTATGTTTTATCTATGGGTTGACTTTGGCTCACATCATTCCCTGATACACTCTTAGTTGTCTTCGATGCTGCAGATCGCCTTCTTATGGGCTCTAATATATCCAGTTTAACTAGTGTCATTCGACCAATTAAAAATAAATCATGACGTACTCTTGGTGAACTGAACATATACAAATAGAAGCGTAGACCAACACATGTCCAAAAGAGTATATTGATACAATTATATATAATATCTGTAACTGAACACACATAACGTGCTGTAAGTACATTTTTAAAATTAGAATTAAATAGTTTGAATAAATTCATCGGTAGTGCACCGATTATGAATATAATGCTTGATAAAACCATCATACGACATGCGAATATTACTTCCCACATTGCAGCTGTTGTCGGTGGTAGTTTTGCTTTTTTCTTGCGACTCATTTTTACTATCGATAATCCCTTGCCGATAGACATGTGTTCAGCATGCATTTTTACCATTTGTCGATTCATTAATACTAGATTACCAACACTTGTAGTCATTAATATGATAAACGGGATGATACATTTATAAACTAAATCGACAAAAAAAAATATCTTGTCTGTATAGCCTTCACTGCAGACATCTTGGCTGCCTGCCAGTAGAACTGCATTTTTACCAATATTAGTTATAGAGCATATAAGTATCGCCAGTGCTGCTGGTTTTATTTCCTTTTTATTCATACTATAGATTGATGTAGGTTTGGCCATTAGCCAAAATCTCTCACCATTCAGTATGCACATATACCAAGCTGCAGCATCCTGACAACAATATTCAGCAAATAATTGTATTCGACAAAATATATCTGTATAAAACAACCTTAAATCGTATTGTTTCAATGCTAGGATTGTATAACGTAGACAACTGATATTTTGTCCAAGAAGGTCTACAAACGCTAAACTTGCCATTAGTAGTTGAGTTGATCCACGTAGATTGCCTTGTTTTGGCTGGATATCACTACCACCAGCACTTGAACCACTGGTATTACTCGCTGTATCCATTCTAGTTACATCAGTTCTAGTTGTAACCGTTTTAGTTGTAGCAGTTTTAGTTATAGTACTTCTAGTAGTACTAATACTCACCATTTTAGAAGTTTTACGAAACATGAATAAGTAAATCCATGTTAACAGGCTGCCAACAGTACCAAATATAATTGTGAGAAATCCAAAGATTGCAACAAATAAATTAGGCAAATGATATTTCAAACAAACATCATGATCTCTTGTTGCATTGGTGCTGATAGTAGTTATGTTGTCAAGAAAATTGTCCATTTTGATTTGAGAATGACAATATATTCCTTAGGCTGTTTCTTCTCACTTCTGAAGTAATTCAACCACTCGACAAAGCAGGAGAGTCACTTTTGAAACAAAAATTTCGCCATATATATATACATAAGATGAACGTGTTTCTTTGTTCGTTTTCTTTATCCACATTTGTTTGACAATTCCTCTTTCCTCTAGAATTTCAGTTCATGCTTATCAACTATTTAGGGTGGTTTCTCTCGATTATCCATGTGGTTATATTGGAGAGGTGGAAATTCACTTGTGTAGATTTGCTTTTATCTTCCCTTCCACTGTATTTCTACAATATGAGCACGCAAACTTCTTTTGTAAATAAAAAACGCTTTTAACACCCTTCTATGCATCTAATCTTATTCAGTGTATTATGTGTACAATAAGTTGGGGCGTATTTGATATCTGCTTCTACGTCGTATAACACATTATTATTATTATAAATGTAATACATTATGATGATAATTGTTTCTAGGACAGAATTCTTAAAATAAACAGTAGAAGACTGTTGACTTTGTCATTCATATAGTGATATATTGTTTCAATTAGTGGTCAGTTATCGACAGTATCTAAGATTTATTGGTTTATTTGACGCCGTTACGTATAGATGCAGCAATGAATCTGGAAAAAAGGTTTCTAGAGCATTTAAGTATTTAAAACAGAAATGCCACATTCATCAATACGTACTTAGAAGCAGATATATGGGAAAGTTAGATAGCAAGTCTGAAAAATAAACATTAAGCTATTTAACAATTTATAACTGGATGATGATTGAAGGTGGAATGAAAATTCGGATCGCTGTCGGATTCGAACCAGCGACAACTTGGTTTCCGGTCAGTTGCTCTACCAACTGAGCTACGATGTCTGACTGCTGACCGGATTTTTATTTCACTTCAATCACCATGGCTTTTTCCTGAATACTACCAGAAATAAAATAAAACCTGGCTTCAATGGTGTATTCATTTAATTCATTACGCTTTTTGATGGTGTTTTCTTCTCACCACTTTATGATATCTCAGGAGACTGAATCTAGCTTCAGTGTTGCCTACATTTAACTATTCCTTAGTTACCTTTTGGCTCAGTTTCTGCACAACTTCTACCTCCCACTGAAACTAATATTGCACGTGGAAATGAACAGTCAGTAGACAGGCACGTCTCATATCCCAGTTATTAATTGGAAGACGGAATTCCAATATCAAATAATTTGTCGAACTTAATTAAGGCATGTCATTCAGTTTAGACTTTGCTTATTTTATAGTTTCACTCAATAAATGCCAAAAACGCAGTACTTAACAGATTTTTACAACGTTGAGATATACTTCGCTTTTGGCGGTTATTGTTTGGATTTAAACTTGCCTGTTTTCATCGCGATATCTTTCAGGATGAGAGTAACAACTCTCTATTTATGTTATTTTGAATGTAGTTTCTGTGGTGTGATCAATATATCAGTATATCTGAGAAGTTTCACGATGATAAATCAAGACGTTTTATGCACCACTTATTGCTGGTTATTTTTCGGCTTTAAGTAATCGCTACCTACAAAGGATTTTTTTCTTTTATTGTATTCTACTTTAAAATCAAAGTAAACCTTGTTGAAATGAACTTTTCCAATTTACTTTTGCACATGAATAAGCTATTGGTAAGTCATGGGGATGATAAAAGTGCTTTGTACGCCCATATATATTTATTTGAAATTTTAAAAACTCGCTTATAGGTCTTTTTTCAAAGCATTTGAAACGTTATACTTTTTCCATTCCTACAGTGTATCCCTTTTCTCAACTCAGGTGAAGAGTATAGTTCGCCAATGAAATTTAGTTAATTGAGTGGTACACTGTCTATCGGCTATATGGGTTCACAGTCGGATTCGTAGACAGCAAACTAAAATCTATAACCCTTAAGCAGGCCGTGAGTGACCGGCCTCAAGCAGTTGTCTCTTGAGTTCTGCGGTCACCGAATAACCCTTCTTTTTCAGGTACCTTAATAAGAACTAAATTTCCACGGTGTAGGCAGTCGAAGAATGTCAGTCGCCCTCATAACTCTGTCAACACTCAATTTCCCTCAGACTGTTGTCCATCTTCCACTTCCCTAACTTCTAATCTTCCTTTACGTTTCTCGGTCAATGTTCCTACATAATCTTCAGTTTATCCTGGCTCTGCAGCTCATAATAACGTTTCGAGTTCATAAAACAGGATCCTAAGTCTCATGAAGTCGTACTCCAAAGTATATATTGGATCCTTCAATGTTCGCAACCTCTGTCAAATCATGCAAAAAGATCCTCTAGCTAAGGTTGTTGTCTCGTGTCATGGATGTGTACTGTTTCTCTGAGACACGCATACAAAACCCAAGTGTAGTTAACCTAGTGAATCCGCAAAATTCACTCTCTTAGTTTTTAGAGATTTGATGGATAGTTCTCTATTTCTTGCAAATGTAGATACAGCATTAAGTGCTCAGACAGGAAGTTCACTGCTCGACTGAATGGCACAGTAAGCAATGAAGAGAATGGTGAAACTTGTCGTCGTCTCTCTGTACTCTGCTTAAGCACCCACTGACTGCAGTTCAGATGAAATGAAGGATGACTTCTGCTTAGAACTCTTTAGCTTCCTACTGAGAACCAAACGTTCAGACTTGTTTGGGGAACAGGGGATTTCAATGCATAAGTGAGTAGGACTAAGTAGGGTAGAAAGGCACTCAGATGGTACATTCAGAATCCTGATCGAACGAACAGATGATGGTGATTGCTTGCTACGACTATGATAAGACAACCGTTTGTTTCTGACCAGCCCGGACTTAAGACTAAGTACACCACTTTATCGAAGGCTCTGTACTTTAACATGCGTGGGCATGTTAGAGTTGTGTCCGTCAAGGATGTTTCCTCTCTCTATTTTCATTGAATTTTATTGTAGACGTACTTACATAAATTGCAATCCTGTTGTCTGACTTAATAGGGATTGATCATGTCACAGGATAACCCTTAGTAGATCTAAAGTGTGCAGATGATATACTTCTGTTAAGTGGAAATACTGAAAAGATGCAGTCTTCCGGACAACTTGAATGGTAATGGGATGCGTTTCACGTCACCCAAATGCAAATTGTTGCTGTAGGACTTCTCTCCACTGATACCATGTCTGACACTAGGAGCTTGAAATGATTGATTGCACCGACCACTTCACTCACCTAGGAAGTCAGATCAGCCCTGATAAATCAAAAAACCTGAAAAGTCCTCTGCATGGATATGCTTATGGCGCCACCATGATATCCGATTGTCTGTTGAGGGTCGAGTTCACTGCACTGGACCTTGCTCTTTTCTGCTGCAGACCTATGAAACATGGCTATTAAACCCAGAGGATATGAGAAGGATTATGGTGTTTGACCATCATTTCCTTCATGGCATAAGTTGTGTAATGATGTCACCTCATCTGTAATGCAGAAGTTAGGGGTAGAGTTTCGGGGAGGAGAAGAAAGTCAGCTGATGAGGTTGTGAACCTTCTCGGCTCAGGTGACTGGGGGATATGTTACTTTTGCTTAGTCACCTTCTGCCTCGTTGCATAGTATTAACTGAAGCAAGTTAAGGCTGGTAAAGGTTTACGGCATCAAAACTAAAACATAGCATCAGTCCATGATTTCTTTGATTGTTTGTCTAACCCGTTTATTGAAATGTAAACTTCATTGTTGAGGTCCATGTGAACCTAGGTGGAATAACTGAGAATCAATATCAGTGGTGCGGATGTATCCTCATCCTAATCGTCATACTGAATTCATTACTTTCTTATTCCTCCTTACTGTCTTTTACTGCTTTTTCTGCTTTTGACCGATTCTCCTTTATTTATTTATTTTCCATCTTGTTGCTTAATGTACTGATATGAGGTGTGGCAACTTTGACGACTATGCCTTGTTCTCTCTTTATGGTAATGATAATGATGATGAACTAACCTCAGTGTTTCTGCCCCCAGCAAACCAACCTGGAAACGGGGGAAGTAAGTGTAGTAGACTGTAAACCGAAAAAATTCAGGAAAGAGCGACCAGACAGCTAGAACCCTCATACGAAGTACATATGACAAAATATTTATCTAAATATAGAATACCTCTTACCTTAATTACCAGCATATTCAATCTGCCAATACGTTTTTGTATACTGCTATATTAATTTAACCTATTTCTGAGAAATTTACAGCAACAAAATCTTTCCTATTTATCAGATACAACTTTTTGTGTTGTGTGTGTGTAATATTTTAAATCTATGTTTACATGGAAATAGGTTTTTGACTAATCACAGTTTAAACGCTTGTATAACACTATTCGGGTGTTTTTCTAAAGCTACTTTTCCAACAACTTATGCATCAATAAACACCAATAGATAATATTCTTCGCTGAATAAGATTTTTTATTGTGACTTTATAGGTAACGAGGTTATAAATCTTTTTTTAAATTTGAATCATGTAGTTTTTGCTGTTTTAATTTGACTGTGTGCCTGAAACTGAAGAGATTTGTTTACTATTGCAGATTAAATTTATTTATTTCAAGTTATACGTGTATGCATTACATTAATAGTATGGTGTTAGTGTCGTTAAATTTTCTGCTAAATGGTATCAAAACAAGATGAAGATACTCTTAAAACTGTGATAGTACATCTACAAAGAAGATTTTAGTGATTTTTTTTCCCGAATATTCATATTCATGGTATTTTGTAGGAGAGATTTAGATGCAGTACTCTAGCTTTCGTATCAACAAATACGTCACATTATGCGTTGAGTGGAATCTTGTGAATACTGTAGATTAGAGCACCATAATACTTCGAGTATAATGAATAATTCACTAAGTGTATAGTCTGTGAAATTCTTTGCTAAGTTATTATTATTTCCGTTCTAATTGTTCTAACCCTATTTGATACACTTTTATTTACCCTATGAATTAGCTTCATCAACGCTTTGTCTCCAACAACTAGTTTATATAATTTAGCTGAAAGGATTCATTCTCAAACGCATTGTTTAAATCTGGCTTTATGGTTAATTTATCGTGGTCATGCGTTAATTGTCTATCCAATTGTAGCCAACAATATATATGTATTATCACCTCATTCAAAAGCCTGGTTCACACCTCAGTTGATTGGACAATTTGCAACATCGTTTCCAGAAGTTAATTTCGCTGAGGTAAATAATAATGACTACTGAGAAAATTAAAAACTTTTAAGTTATCATTATTTCATTTTGTCAGGGTTTCTCACTAAACTATAATTTCATACTCTATGATGAATTCTACCTTAAAAATAAAATTTCTATTAACCTTGAAATACATTATTGTGCAGTGCTCATTAGCGACATGCCTCGAGATTGATATCCTGAAGTTCTGATGAAAATCCGTGACCTGTGAGGTAGACTAGTCAAAAGTAAAGTGAATGCCAACTAAAGACTTTGGTGAATAATTGCGTTATATCGCGAATTGTCAGAAGTAGGAAACTGTGAATTATTGAACCTTGACCCAGTGACTGGATCGTTGACGCGTTCGCCGTGAAACCTGAAGGTTCCTTGTACGATCTCTGGTAAGGTCATGGTTGCGTACTATTGAGGAATCCCGTACTAGAATAAAGTAACTATCCAGTACCTTCAGGTTTTCAATGCTTCTTCAAGTGATGTCAATTCATGATGGATTTTTCCTTAAGAATGTAACTTATCCGTAGCATTTTAACCATACGGTAATCCATTCGAACAAAATAGCTAATTTCAGGTTAGTTCATTGCTGTTGATTCTTGTTAAATATCGGTGTCGATGAGTTAAAAGTTAGAAACAAAAGAGTGAAGAGACATGATTACAAACATTCGGTGTGAAGTTTTATGTTTGTAGCTGTCATGTATGTGTGTGTGTGTTGTCACTCATATTCTCCTTCATTGCAAATACGAGACTAAAACGGTCACAGATGATATCGTAATTACTCAGCAATTTTATGTGTAAAATAGAGCATATAAGATGGATATGTATGTCACTTCTGTTGGTATATAAAGATGAATTACAACTGACGAATTTGTCATTGAGTTTTCAGAATAAAATAGGAATGAATATTGATAACGATGGTCATGATTTATTATTATATTACTTATTTGTCTCTTGAGTTCCTAATGGAACACAGGGCTTCAGTAGCACGTCTCCAATGCGCTCTGTTCTCTGAAATCTTTTGAACCTGGCTCCACGACAGCTCATAAGCTCTCATTTCCTCCTCGCACGACCTCCTCCATGTCACCCTCACCTCAGACGCCCAACTCGTCGCTTCCCATCGGGGTTCCACTCGACGACCTCGCCTGACACATGATGTCCCCAGTCGGCCTTCTCAGTGTATGCCCAATCCATCTCCACTTCCTCCTGCATATTTGTTGACTGATAGGTTCTTGGATGGTTCGTGCCCAAAGTTCCTTGTTGCTTATTCTTTCTGGCAATCCATCTGATCTTCAGTAGCGAGCGTATGCAGTTGTTGATGAATGTCTGTAGTTTATTGGAAATCCCTTTCGTGACGCGCCAAGTCTCTGAACCATACAGAAGCACTGACTTGACGTTGGTTTTGAAAATCCGGATGTTGTTCCACATGGTGAGTGCAGTATATCTCCACACTGGTTTCAGGCTAATGAACACCTGTCTTGCTTTTCCGATTCTGACTTTGACGTCTTCGTCCGTCCCGCCTGTAGTTGAAACAGTGCTTCCTAGATAAGTGAAGGAGGTTACTTCCTTTAAGTTTCTCCCGCTGATGGTGATTGGAGTTTGTTGTTGTTGTTGGCGGTGGTGCAGTATCTTCATCACTTCTGTCTTCTCTATATTCACTTGAAGTCCCGTCTTCAATACCCTGCCTCTTCTGTCAACTTGTTAGTTTTTGCCTGTAGATCTTCAAGTTTGTGTGACATCAGGCACAAGTCATCGGCGAAATCCAAGTCTTCTATGTTCTTTTCCGCAGTCCAGTGTATCCCCCTCTTCTCGCTGCCTACTGTTTGCTGCATGATCCAGTCGACCACAATAAGGAATATCATGGGGGATAGTAGGCAGCCTTGTTTCACTCCTGTCTTCACTTCAAAAGCATCACTGAGCTTCCCAGTGTGAGCTACTTGGCATGTGGCATCTTCATATAGTTGTTGAATGAGGCGGATAAAGGTTTGCGGTATTCCGTAGTGTTGGAGCAGTTTCCAAATTACCTCTCGGTCGACGCTGTCAAAGGCCTTTTCAAAGTCGATGAAGTTGAGGTGAGATAGATAACTGAATGCCATTCTATGCTCTGTTCTATGATGATGCGTAGTGTAGCGTTGAAGTTTGGTCTGCACATGATTTGTACTTCCTGAAGCCTGCCTGTTCCGGTCGTAGTTTTGTATCCAGTGCATCTTTAAGCCTCTCCAGGATGATGCGGCTTAATATTTTGCTTGTTTTGGGTGGGCAGGCGAGTGATTCCGCGCCAGTTCTTGCAAACACTGAGGTCTCCTTTCTTCGGCAGTTTGACAAGGTGTCCCTTCTTCCAATCAATGGCCAGGTACCTTCTCTTCCTTCCACACCTTCTGCAATAATGGTATGGTGTGAGCATGTCCGCTGTTGTCTCTGCGTCTGTTCTCAGTGCTTCTGGCGGGATTCCATCTGATCCTGCTGCTTTCCTGCACTTTAGTAGCTTCATGGCGTTCAGGACTTCGACTTTTGTTGGAGGATTTGTGTTCACTTGTAGTTCAGCGGCTGTAGATGGTATTTCTGGACGAAGTGCAGGTGGTGGTGGTGGTCGATTCAAGAGCTTCTTGAAGTGGTCAGCCCATTGTTTCTTTTGTTTCTCTTCTTTCGTAATTAAATTTCCTTCACCATCTATTGGTTTCATTTGTGTTGATCTCTTCCCGCATAGTAAGTAACCTAGTTATTTTATACAATGTTGTCAGGTCTCTCTTACCTGCAGCCTGTTCTGCTTCACTTGCCAGTGTTTCGTAGAAGTGTCTTTTGTCTTTGCGTGCACTCGTCTTCACTTCTTTGTCCAGTGTTTTATACATTGTAGTCAGTTCCTCCTCTTGTTGTGCATCCTTGCACTGGTTTATCTTCTGCTTCACCATCCTGCTCTCCGTCCTCTATCAGCTTCCATGTGTCCATTGAGATCCACTCCTTATCTTCTTTCTTCTTCCTTCCTAATACGGTTATGCAGGTTTCTTTCCACAAAGGTTTCTTCAGGGATGTTCCTCTATATCTCCCATTTTGTCTTGATGGCTGACGTGAAGATATCCTCTGTAGTTTCGTTTTTCTGTTTTCGGGTGTTGAACTTCAACTGTGGTCTATCAGCAGATTCCTTGAAGACTTTTAACTTGATTTGGAAGTTAGGTTCCTTGCACTGGATAGTGGTCCGAGCCTACGTCTGCTCCTCTTCTTGACCTTGTGTCAAGTAGACTGCATCTCCACTTTCTTGAGATTGAGATAAAGTCGATCTGATTTTTAGTGCGTCCTGGTGTCTGGTGGAATCCATGTGGCTTTGTGGATATTCTTGTGCTTGAACGTAGTGCCTCCAATCACCAAATCGTTGAATGCACAGAATTCTGCAAACAATTCTCCATTCTCGTTCATCACCTCACTGAGCGCTTCTCGACCCATGGTTAGTTCTCTTCCTGTGTTGTCCCCTCCCAGTTTGGCATTCATGTTGCCCATTAGGCTTTTGATATCGCCAATTGCATGAGAGCCTTCGATGCTGTTGGGGACATCATGATAGCCACTCCAAAACTCAGTGTGCTCGTGGTTGTCGTCTGGGTGACCGGAGTAGATTATTGACTCTCCAGTTAACAGTTTGGAGAGTCCATTTCCATTCCATCTACTTTCGCAAATTCCAAGCACTTCAATGCGATACCTTCTCATCTCGTTGGCAATCTGGGCAGCCTTGCCAGGTTCAAACATGGTGCTGACATTCCATGTCCCCACATTTACTTTTGCTTTCATCGAGAGAAGACACATCGGCCAATTGGCTTCCCGAAGTCTTTCACCAACCAGCGTCCTTTCGCCTCTCCGAATCCAGTGAGGAATAAGTTTGTCATTATTTTTTATATTTTGTTTGTGCTTTGAAGTTTCTTTAGCGGTTGGATTTGTTTTACGGGGTAGGGTTGCTAGCCCTATGCCCAACCTAACCTCTTCACCGAGCTTAGGACCGCCTAGTAACTAGTGAACTAGTTAACCAGGCGAGGTTGATGGTCATGTTAATAATAATTAATAGTGCACCAATTCAGACTGTGTTGTCGTTGCCGCAAAGATAACAAGAACGAGACTGGTGGTGAATGTAAATGCAAGAGAGTTACCCTTTCTATTTGCTAATTAATAATTGCCAAAAAGCAGCTTGCTGTATCTCATTTCATCTGTTCTAACTAATTTGGATTTAACCATATAGTTAGGATCTCCGCTTCAATCTTTTCTGAAAAACCCCAGAACCCTTCTGTGGAACCTTGATTACTTTAAGATCAGTTTTAAGACCCATTTCCATCGAATGTATCTTAAGTGCCAACTTTCTTCCGGCTTCTTAACTTCTGGTGAAATTTCTAGAGTCTGCTTTAGATATAGTCTGTGCTCCCTCACTGTCATATTTTATTTGACTGGCTCTCTCTCCCACATATACTGCATTACAGTCGGCGCTTTTGATTTCACAAACGGAATTTCGCTGATTTTCGTTTGGTACTTCGTCTTTAACCTTCATCAACGCAAAACATAGAGTTTTAGTTGCCTAAAAATATAGACCCTTATGTCGTATTGTTGAGAATACTTCCTATTTCTTCTTAGGTTTCCTTACAATATGCGGTTATCACAGTGTTGGTCCAGTTCTTCAGAGATAGTTTTAGAAAATTCTTAATTTCGTTTCTGAAGATTGTTCTTACATATTCCTTCAGATGATTATTTGCTCCCAGTGAACAACAAATGGACTTTAATTCTTCCTTTTTATCCTTTTCCATTGTAACAAAACAATCAGGTTTTTTGATCAGATTTTGAGCAACTATTAATTTCGTTTTCTAAGGATGGATGATTATATAGGTATCCATAAGAATGTGCTGGTTTTCTGATAATACTTATCTTCAATTTGTTGAGGATGACTGTTACGAACTTGAGAAAAATATTTTGACTGTTAATGTCTTGAAAATATGCAATAATGAAAAAATGCAACACACACTATGTGTAGTTGAAATGTCAGTGAAGAGAATCGAATTTGATATTCCAATAGCTCATTTGCATAGTGTAAAAACTGTGAGTTCTAAGTTTGACTCCTGGAAAGGTGAATAGTACATACTTTTAGAAAGTTTCAAGACATTGAAAAGTATGCATTTAATACTTCGTAATTGTTTGGTCGATATTAATTTCCTATCAAAACATTCTTCAAATAAATACATATTAGTAGCTTTGTAGTAATTTCCCTTTGTTATACAGGGCCGAATCGCTCGAACCCCATTGGCAGATGAGCTCTTATACGGATGCCTCGATACTGCCGGATATTCATGATGTTATGTTCATGTTGTTGACTAGTAGAGGAACCCAGGACGCGCGTTTCATCCTATTTGAGACTCATCAGCTGGATGTACCTGCCCCCCATGAGTAATGTTGTTCCCGCTGTGACCTGAACTCAGTACTCATCACTTCAGATGCCAAAGCGTTATCCACCAAGCCACTGGAGTGGCTATCGTGCCCCAGGTCTCAATGGGAACAACATCACTCATGAGGGGCAGGTACATCCAGCTGACGAGTCCCAAATAGGACGAAACGTGCGTCCTGGGTTCCTCTGCTAATCACCGAGATCAGTATAACATCAGCAACTTCATTATTTTTTTAATAAAAACCCTAATGAGGTTTTCTGCCTAATTAAGGTTTTTCTCTATCGTTATTTTGAGGTTCCAATTCCTACGTCAACTTATACATATTTTTTTGTGTACTTGTACATTATAGCTTTTGACATCATTTTCAACAAGTTTCATACTAAGGGATCATTTCCATTCATCTACCACTGTCTCTGATAACCTTCATTTCGATGGAGATTTGGCGAATAGTCCTAATGCTGTTCGAAACAGATCTTCGAAAACCTCGTGGACAAATTTACCGTTAGCACAAAAAATTAATTTGATTGCTTGGCTTCTTCGACGTCGTCTCATAATACAAGTAAAAATTATTCCGTTGCTTGATTGGTTACTGATTATATTGAACTTTTGAATCATATGAGTTTTTTACAAATGAACCATCAGTGTAAACACCTCATTTTCATTCCTTTGGTTTATAAATAAGCTTATCAAGCAGAGACCATATAAGATTCATCTCACATATCTAAATGTTTTCAGATCAACAATCAAATCTAGTCAGTTGGCTTAGATAAACTACTATACCATAAATTGATGTTAGTTGGTTAAAAGCAATAGACTAAAAGCTCTTAACCTGGTTTGAGTACTTGTTTTGTACTTGTCGGAAAGATGTATCTGCAACTTCTGAAGAACTTACGGTGTTTCAGTAACTGATGTTTTGTTGGACATTTTGAACTGCAGCTAACCATATGTTAGACTCAAATAAACACAATCTTTGGTTGCTAGTTAGTAACCAATGTCTTGGTATTTAAACAATTAAGTACTGACCGAATTTTGTCTCTTAAGTTCCCTATATGGCTTCCAAGCTTAATGCGATAGGATTATGGTTGGCTGTGTATAATGATGGATTGTCGCTTATTATAAATCGATAGAGTCCAGTCATTACTTAACAGTTGATGCTGTTGCTCTGTGTTCTATAAATCAGGGACATTGTTCGGACAATATCCACAAAATTTTCAATCCACGTTAATATTTCTCATAGCTGTAGAGTTTCCAGTACCTTAAGACACTGCTTATGCATCTGAGATCTCGGTGCAGTTTAAATATTTTGTGAATAGTTTTAAAATTGAAACGATGGGAAAGATTGGTGTCTGTCTGAAAATGGCATTGGTTTCGTGTTCTCCGAGCTTTGGAATTTTTTCGTGAACGTTTCAACATCAGACTTGTTGTGACATCCTTAGCACTAACTTCAGAAAAAACTGAGGCATGTTTGAATGTTTCACTTTTATGTATGACCTTAAGGTCAAAGAGGTCAATGTATGACAAAAATTTGTTCCCCAACTTAGAAGTAAATAGTACTCAAGGTTAAGAACAAGACTACCTAAACAGTTGGGCTAAATTTAGACATGCCTCATTTCTTTATGAAATTAGTACTGATGTTGTCACCAAGTCTGGTGATGAAACATCCACGAAAAAATTTCGAAGTGTAGAAAACACCAAAATCTATCGTTGACTCGAAGTTTTAATTCTAGTTAGTTTAAAAAAGGCGATCGAGTGGAATTCACAGTTCTTTGACAGTTGAATGAAGTCATTAGATGAGTGCTTGGAGTTGGTTTGGCATTGAAATTCCATTTTTCTACCATTTATAAACATATCATGCTACGTCTAAATTCTTGTTAGCCTTTTAACTCGTTTGTAGAGTAATGTGCTACATCCTTCAGATATTCGAATCTAGTATTAACTTTCACATCACTAGATGTTTGCTTTAATAATCAGCTTCCTTAAACTATTTTTTGTTTATTTTTCCGTTTAGATCCATCTTTATATATTTCCAACATTTTTATCAAGTGAAGTTGTAAATGGAATGATTTTTTCACTTCAGAATGTTAACGACAACAGTATGACTCATTGCAGTAGTAGTAGCGATTACGATAGTGAGGAAATCACTTTGGAGCATAAAAATAATGGGATTACTAAGGATTTATGCATAGATGACGCTGTTCTGGATTTCGATGAATTGTGCAAAAAGATTCCGAAGGATATTTTGCATGAGTTAAGTGAAAACTTACCTGTCGAATCACGACAAACGTTACTTCAGTCTATATTGAGTCATCCTGGAGCAACACAAAATATTCAACTACTAAAATTATTTGCTAGGATTTTGCCACATTTACCAGCTCATATAGAAGAAATTATGTTTAAAGAGCAGATAAAGCGATCTACACTCATTGAATGTGTCGAAAGGTTTGCACCTTTCTTAGCCACAGCTAGGCTTCCGGACCCTGTGACTTCTTGTTTCGCTGGGATACCCTGGCCCAACTAGTATCTTTTCTATCTGTTTTGATGCACCATGTGCAAAAAATGATCCATAAACATTAGGCGTTACTTTCATTTATTACTTATTATTTTAATTAAATTACTTTATCAGTGCTTGAACGTATTCAGTCATGTATCACACTGTGAATAGTAATGATGAGTTTCTTGATCTTATTACACACTGATATGCATTTTATCCAAACTATTTTTCTGACATTCTCCACTTTTGAAGTGTAGTCTGGAAATGTGGCATCTTGATATTCCAACCTTTCTAATGCTTAAATTCTTAGAAAAAAATATTTTAATATTAGCTAGTTGAATTTTGTTACTGCATAATTCACTCAAATATTAACTGGAAATATGTGCAGATTTTGTCAGAAAAAGGATTTGTCTACACGAAAATGACTTTGCAAAGATGATATCTTATCTGAATAATATTCCTTTCTTTGTTGATTATGTCTGTTATAGTGGACAAGGTTGCAACCTTGTATCCATTGTTCAGAATTCATCGGCTTCCTTGTGACCTTCATCTTATCCTTGACCAACTGTTTAATGATTTGGAAGCAGTTGTATTTTCTAGTACACCCTTTGCGTATAAATAACTGCCTATTTGATTAAAAAAATTCGAACATATAAACTTAGTTTACAAGTTCACGTTTTTTCGGTTATATCATATTCAGAAGCTGTAAAATAATCCTAAGATGCAATCAGTGTTTACTCTTATTTGCAAAGAATTTTAGCATGATTTATCAAATTATTGTTCGGTGCAATTTACGTAGAAAGTATGCATTTATTTTCTAGTTCAGATCGACAGTTGCGGTAAGATTGGTTTGGATTGAAACTAGAAGTTAATGGCTACGTAACAGTTGGGCGAACCCACCATTGAATTACTGGAATTCAGCTGTGATGCTTTTGTAAAAGATAAATAAAAACAACAAGAATTCCGATACTTGCTCACCTGATGGACACTGATCTTGAATAGATACACTTATGTTTCGTATTCCACCTGATCTTATACATGTTTTGTTTTTCTGCCTGATAAACAATTCCAAAGTGATTATCATACCTTTCAAAAAACGAAATCTTTATACCTAACGTAGTTTGTAGAACCTCTTTGACTGCTTTTGCCATTCCCCTAGTTCTACGTTGTGGATTTAAAAACATAGTGAACTCTTTCCTTTCTTCACTTCAATAGTTCTGTTTCATTTTCATATCTTCTTGTTATTTGGTTGGGGGCAATTGACAGGAAGCCCTGGACCTAGGTTCGTGCTTAATGGCACTCCTCAGTAAGGTGTATTTGCACCGCGATGCCGAACATTCTATCTCGGTGGCCACATTGCAAAGTGATCGATAGAATCTGGTCATCACTCAAGACTAGAAAAAATGAGATTGGTGTCTCTCCAGTTGCCATTCAGTGCGTGTAACTCAATCCCACAGGAGGTCAATCGTAGCCCCAATAGCTCAACACTAACGTCACTGACTATAGCAGTGGGGGATGGAGGTTTGAACCTCAGACAGGACATCAGTTCCCTTGAGGTTGCAGACACACCTCGATGATGAGTGCCAACAGGTACGAAACCTACTTCCACGGCTTTCCGCCCATTTCTACCCATCAACAAGTATCCATCAAATTGCAGTGCTGTGGTGAGCCTACTAGTTTGTTGGTCACATTGCGAAATTATCGGTAAAATTCGGTTAGTACTCAGGACTAGACAACATGAGATTGATTGCTCTCCACTCATTAATTAATATGTCATATTTTCTTGATTTACTTGTGTAGTCACTGTCACTAAATAGAACCGTTCCCTTTTACCATCAAGTTTCGTCCTAAACATTTGAGTAAATACAAATATATATACAAGACAAACATTTATGTCACACATGACTGTAGTTTCTCAGATTTCTCAACTTTCCCAAACTACTTCACTGAACTTGCTGCTTCGATTCTGGCTAACTCTTTGTCTGTAGTTTGTGGAGATTTTAATTCATATGACGGCAGTTTCCGTGTATCATTAAGTTAGGAAAAAATGGCTGATTTTTCTTGACAACACACTAGATTTAGTATTTACAAATGTCTATGGTGTATTTGAAATCCGTAGACGAGTTCTGCTGCTGAATTCTGATAGCTGTATTGCACGTGTTTTTCCTAAAGTGTAAGACAAATTGCAAAAGAAGGTTTTCGGATACATTTACAAGAAAATCTGGTACAGATGCTATTCACGCAAGAATATACTACGTTTGAAAAGCATGCTTAAAGAAACGGATCGGGATATATTGGTTAGTGAAGTTTTAGACAGCACTATCATTAATGTCACAAGCCATCTCAGATTCTGTCTTGACATATGCTGTACTGTTGAAATAATCTACATAAGATTTGACAGAATTTCCTCTCCTCATCTCAAGAGTCTCTGGAGAGAAAAAGGAGGGTTGTAGGAGATGAGAGACCACCCTGGCATTAAAAGACTTAACTGCCTAATTAGGTCTGAAATACAACGTCTGAGAACCGTATACAACCAGAAGTTTTTGTCGTGTGAGAACTCTTCCAATACATGGGAATCATTCCAAGAGCTTACTGGTAGAAAACAGATAACACAAGAAGCTTGTTCGGATGTCCACGCATTAAAACACCCATTTATACGTCGGCAAGTTGATTTCATTCTTCCTAGTGCCCATAGTCAAATGGATAGCTGCTTTCCTGGATATAATACAAACGATATATTTAAATGTCTCAAGTCCATGAATCTGTCTCAAAACCTAGGTCCTGATGGTGTTTCTAGCATTATATTTAGAAATATGCAGATATTTTATGTCACCTTACAATTATCTTTAATGCATGGTTTTCCGAAAATACAATATCCGCTGGTTGGAAAGAGACTAAAGTTGTACCTATGTCTAAGTCATCTGGATCAGATGCTAAGTTTCAACACATTGCTGTAACTTCCCCTTTTTGAAGACAATGGCGAAATTACTTCTCCTTGTGCTTCAGTCTTCATTGCAAGCCTTCAAAAATCTGAAACAATTTGATTACAAACACAAGAGAAGGACTTTAGATTCTGGCACTGTCTTGTATCATAATATTGTTTCCAGTCTAGACAAAGGTGTTAAGTATGCTTGTTGTGCCTTCTTGGGTTACTCATCAGCCTTTGACTCTTTTCCTAGACCACTCGTGTTAAATAAGCTTGTTATAGCTCCTACTGAGCCACGGGTTACAAAATGACTATATTCTTATCTTTCTGAGAAGAAACAGTATACTGTCTTTGGAGGGAGGAGCTCCAATTCATTTCTCACAAGCTGGTGTACCTCAAGGTGCAGTACCTTCTCTGTTTCTGTTTTCGTTCTGTTTGTATGACTTACCTTATTCTGTTGAAACTGGTTTTGTCAGATATGTTGGTGACCTGACGATTTGTATCCCAGCTAGGTCTCACTTAGATTGCTCTAAATTAAATGGATTCTTGTCAGTGATTAACCAATGGTCTCAAGCTAAACGTTTCTGAATATTGGACTATTTAATTCAGCCTCAAGCCGCTTAACCCCAATGACTCCTGTTGTATTGATGGTACTCTTGCAGAAGTGACTCAAGCGTTAACTATCTCAGATCAAGTTTTACTTCTTATCTTTGCTGGTCGTCTCATATCTTGTTGACTTCCGAAAACATTTTTCGTCTAACGTATGACATAAAGAAATCGAGGCTCACTGGTATAACTCAACTTCTACTTTCACAATTCATTAATGCCTGTATTTTACCCATCCTTCTTCATTGTTTCGCGCTGATCTTTCCTGGTCTGCTGAAAAGGGACTATGTTACATTGCATAGGGCTCCGAGAGCCGTCAGTAGGGTGAGTGCTGTACATTTGGCTGAACTGATTGACACTGGTTCACAGGCGTTTAAATTCTAGCAGACGACTCGCTACAGTAATTTTGTCTGACACTGAGCATCCATTTCATTCACAGCTCTCTCCTTTTATCTTCTCAGGAAGCACAAGAAGAAATTACATAACACTGCGTGCTTATACAGCTAAGTACATTAATTGAACTGTGTCTTACCTAGCATGCATACTATGTGAGGAAAACCGTGTTACAACAGAACTGACTTATCAGCTTTGTAACAGTGAGTACTTTCATTTTAATAATATAATTCACAAAATAACATTTCCTTGTTAATAGTATTCTCTACATTACTTAAATCCTTATACTAACACTATTTGAAATGTTGTAAAGGAGTATAAATATACACATGTTTTGTTTGCATGCTGAGGATTCCAAATTTTACCAAAAGTTGTTTAGAGTAAAATGGTTATTATTATTATTAATTGGTACCTTTTGGTTATATCCTGGTCTAATGGCTAGTTTTTTGTGATGCACTTCGTGACCTCAACTAATTTAATCAGTGAAGGTTTTCATAGTATCTAAAGAGACACAACTAGCAAGACTATGTGAGAGATACTTCGTCTACGGATGAGTTTGTTTTCGCTAGCTGCTAGACGCAAATCTTATCTGGTGCATTGATCATCAGTATCGAAAAATAGTTTTTTTTTAACCAATAACTAGGATTTTAGCGGCCTTGATAAACTCACAGTGTGTAGCTGGCTTTAGACAAAAACTCAACAGAGTCAGTCAATAAACTTCTAACTTTTCAAAAAACTGGATGAGTCATTCTTATCATAACTTTGATTTTAAAGTGCTTTTTCCTCCTGAAACTGCATGAAGATGCAATTTGAAAAAAGCAGAATATGATCATCCAATCCAAAGGTAATATTGGTTATTAGATAACGTAGCGCCTTGCTCCTCTGATTGAAAAGGGAACCTAGTCTTGAAGCTCATCTGTAAGGTTCTTATCGTGAAGCTTTTCTACACTTTCACAGAGCTTGTATACATATATTAGCTGCATGAATGAACTATTAGTAATTGAAGCACACTTCATAATAGATAATTCAGCTCCCTCGAAATCTCCGACCAGTAACTTATGAGTTGAACGATGTTCAAACTACACTACTTTACTGATTATGCCACTAACAAGAGAGAAGGATTCTTATGACTGACAATGTCAAATTGTTCTAGCCTTATAACCTGTAGAATAGAAGCACACTTCAGGATATAATAAGCACAGCGAAAGCTGCCCTCAATAATGTTCAGTTTAAGCTAAGCTACATAAACAGATAAGAGCTCAGTTTGATTCAGTCATTTTACGTTTACTGTCTCAAACCATCGCAGCTCATGGACTGCACCACCATATATGGCAACAACAAGACGAACATATGATGGTGGTATGGAGCAAGAAAAGTTTTTATTAACCGTTTTATTAAATACAACATTGAGAAATCTACCTCGTTTAAATATTGTATTTGTGCTAAAAAGTTTGAGAAAGGTGATTGATGACTGGTCTTTCTGTAACCAATGAGTTCAAAGCAAAGAGACTTCCATACACAGTCGAAGAAGTGGGAAGTTTGTGATGAAACAAGCATGTAATAACGATAAACACCTCTTTGAGTTTTAGGAAGTTGATTTCAGAGGTGGTTTTACACCTTTTCAGAGTTTTCGCAAGGTTTTTAGGTGCTGAAATAGACTATGCAGAAGGTGGAAAATTCCGAGGCACAATAGGTTTTCCTAGAGAAGATGCTGTCAGATCGCTGTCAACACAAATAGTTCAATGTACAGGTTTGCGCTCATTCATACTGGTAAAGAGTACACGTTTCGCTATTCATCTGAAAACGTTTCCAAGTTTTTTTTATGCCAGTGGACCCACTGTTA